GGTTTGGCAAGTGCTTTCGCCATCTTAAAAACGGCATGCCCACAATGGGTTAGAAATACTGCTCGCTTCTTGCCAGTCGTAGCGTCCTTTAAGTTGTTGGTCTCCAGAAACATCTGGAACCGATCCATATACGAGTCCCAGTCTTCGTTAGCCGGGTCAAATGGAGCGGGTGGTATGGCACCGCTGGACATCTTGCCGTTGTTGGTGCTTCTTCAGCCACGTGCTCTGTTCGTTGCTCTGTAAGTGTTCAGTCAGCTCTGATGTCTCCGCATCCCACCCTCGTCGCCAGTGTTATATTCTGAACATGGGCGCAAGGAACGGAGACGAGGCTGTGAACAGTGAACTTCAACTCTTTATTAACGATCAGGAACAGAGCAAAAACCCTGGGCAGCAGCAGCTCTTTTATAGGGCTGGCTGCTGTCCCATTAACCAATGACTTACGTTAAAACATTTAAATTGTACCCAATGAGAGACGTTCCGCTAATAGCCAATCAGGTTGCTCCGTAAGGACCAATCCCAGCTCGCTATCCACGGACCAATCAAAAGTGCAGGATTACGAGCCTGCTTTTCTATCAAGGTTGTTATGCTTTATTAAAATACGTTTATGTTAGTTCATAACACTTACGTTACTTATGACTTCTGTCTGTATTTGTATGCCTGCATGGGACTATGTGCATAATTTCCTTACTTGATGATCCCTTCCACTTTTTTTGTTATGTTCCCCTGTGGCTCTCACTTGAAATTCTGCTCCTCCTTTTAGGTTTTCAAATGCAGAGATATTTTACAATTTGCTTGAACATTGCATGTTGATGAAGGGTATTCTTTAGCGCCAAAATGGAAATCCAACCACAGCTCTACTTACAGCAGAAAATCAGTGAGGTTTATTTTGTTGTTAGCAGTAGTTTATAAAGAAAATTTTTCAGTGTTTTAAATTATTTCAAATATTTGATTTCTTTTTTTTCTGTGTTACACTAACTTTCTCTGTGTGAATTATTGAACTGGATTTTAATGTCAACCTTTATTCATATATCAGATTACATTCATGAAGATACACATTTTCCTTTAAAATCTTTTGAATCTATTGTTCTCCTGTTAAATCAGTTTTATTTTCGAAGTGCTCAACAGAAAGAAGAGCTGAAGCCTCTAATCACCATGGCTCTATTCTATAATGGAGGAGATGGTACTATTGGAAAACTATTTTGACTTTTACATTTGACTTTTACAATACCAGAGAGGGGGGACAAATTGTGAAATCCCTATATTTTTTTCTCGTTGGGTTCAGGAGGTAGACATCAGGTATTATGTCTCCTGTAAGATATGTGGTGGCAGCAGGAACTAACAAACTGCTATCCCAAAACAGGAGGAGGAGGGTGTAAGTTCTTCTGGGAAAGGATGTTGGGGCCCCCCAGCATTATTACATAGATTATATTTTTCTCCTTTTGCTTCATAATATTGTCTCATCTCTTGCAGCTTTTGGCAATGCTAAAACAATTCGAAATGATAACTCAAGCCGCTTTGGGAAATACATTGACATTCACTTCAACCAAAATGGTATAATAGAAGGAGCTCGGATAGAACAGTTCCTTCTGGAGAAGTCTCGAGTGTGTCGCCAGGTAAATATATATATAAGTAAATACATATAAATAAAGAAATACTATTTCATTGTGGTAGCTTTTCTATTTCTTCTGTTAGTAACATATTTGTGGTCTTTCTATTTTTTTAGGCTCCTCAGGAAAGAAACTATCACATATTTTATTGCATGTTAATGGGGATGAATCTGGAACAGAAAAAAATGTTGAATCTTGGCACTACTTCAGAGTATACTTACCTAACTATGGTAAGGAATCAAAAGCTGGATATGTGACTGGCACCTTCTAAAGTCTTAAACATTATATCAGAACTGTGTATCTGTGTTCCTATGTATTTTTACAAGGACTTTTAAAATGTTGTGATGGGAAAAAGATAATTAATTATGTAGTCCTTGCTTATCAACTGCTCATTCAGTGACAATTTGAAATTACAACAGTACTGAAAAAAAGAATTACAACCAGTCCTTGAAATTACAGTTGTCATGGCATCCTGCTAGCCACATGATCACAATCTGGGTGTTTGGTAACTGGTGATTATTTATGATTTTTGCATAACAGTCACATAATCACCATTTGCAATCATATTTATGATTTTTGCATAACAGTCACATAATCACCATTTGCAATCTTCACAGTTGACTTCAACAAACAAGGGAAGTTGCAGAAAGTCATAAATCATGGCCAGCTTAATAATTGCAGCCAGAACGGATGTTATAAGTTGGTGCAGTCACTTAGTGTTTTACTTAGAACCCAATTGCAGTCGATAAGTGAGGACCCCTTATCATATGTTTGTGTATATGTGTGTTTACTCATTTTTTCCTCTCATGGAATTTAAAAATGTTTTCTTTTGAAATACATGATGTAGGCATTTTCAGTTATATTATGAGCGTGTGTGTGTGTATGTGTGTATAATATACAATATATAGGAGTGTGATGGCTCAGCGGTTAATAACATTGAGTTTATCAGCTGGAAAGCTGACAGCCTGGTTCGAGACCTGAGTATATGAGACAAGGTGAGCTCCCTTTACTTGACCCAGCTGCTGCCCACTTAGCAGTTTGAAACCATGCAAATGTGAAAAGATAAATAAGTACCACTTTGGTGAAAAGGCAACAGTGTTCCGTGCACCTCAGTGTGTAGTTATGCTGGCCACATAACCACAGAAATATCTTTGGACAATGCTGACACCCTCAACTAAGAAATTGAAATGTGCACTGGCCCCTTGAGTCAACACAGGGAAACCTTTACCTTTACATTATGCATACTGTTGTATTTGAAAGAAATGTCTTGCATTACGGCTATGCTGATTTGCAGGGCAAATGCACTTTCTGTGAAGGCCGTAGTGATGCCAAGGAATATGCTCATATATGCTCAGCTATGAAAATTCTCATGTTCTCTGATTCTGAGCAGTGGAACATAAGCAAATTGCTGGCAGCCATTTTGCATCTAGGAAATGTAAAATTTGAAGGTAAGCCTAGTACATGTGTATATTTACAGACGTATGGAACATTTTCACACAGCTAATGTTTTGTTTCTCAAACCTTCACAGTTTTACTACACAGTGACCTCGCCTTCCTCCTGAGTTACTTGAGTAGACCACTGTCCTTTTCAGTTGTCCAATGGAGCAGCACAAAGAAGTATTTGCCAGCCATTTCTCCCTTTTTTCTTTTCTTTTTCTCAATGCCTTGTTTTCCTAGTGGGAAAAAAAAGTGCTGATAAACCAGCCATTATACATGGGAAAGATTAATTAGGATTAAGAAGAACAGAATGATTTCAAGGTACAATGGCACTTTGAATTCACAAGGAGGAAGAAGTTCTGAGGAACCCGGATGAGATTTCCCTATATCAGTGATGGCTAACCTTTTCAGCTTGGTGTGTCGAAAATCGGGAAAAAGTGTAGCCTTCCTCGGGTCGTGTGTCACTTCAAGAAATATCAATAATTTGGTTTATGACGGACTGGGCTGGGGTGATCACACAGGGCTGTAAAACTCGTCTCCCTGGTCTCAGGGCTGCAGGTGCAGGATGTGGGGATCGGAAGGCCACCTTACAGGGCTGTGAACCTCATGGATCTCCTTTCCTCCTGTAGCGTTCCTGAGGTAATGAAAGTGACAAACCTCAGTTTATGGCGATTAAAACTGGTTCTCTGCTGCAAAGATCTTGCGGCAGCGGTGACACCACGCCTCCACGCAACAAGCAGGGAGCAGGGATTGGAGCAGAGCACAGGCAGCCTCTAAATGTGCAGGTTTTCCCCACACCAACAGGCGTGTCAGTCAAAGTGCCTCGGCGTGACACGAGTGACACGTGTGTCATAGGTTAGCCATCACTGCCCTATATCCTTCCTATAGTCTTACAGAAAGCTTTTTTTGGTACACTGCTGAGTTTGCTTGTGGGGAAGAAAATAATATCTCTCTCTGACTTCTCCTCTACAGCTTAATTGATTAAAATAAGCTAAAGCCCTTTCAGAAAATCAAACTTTTATTATGTATATTATGGATAGAGAATTAACTACTGAACAAAGGGATAAAGGAAAAGAAAAATCCTAAACAGCCAATTTGATATGGGTTCTCTTGGCTTCCTCTGCCAGGTTCACACATAGAAACTAGAGAATCGAATTCATAGCAAAGATTATTCATAAAACAAAATTTAAAAATCCTGTCCTGGATCTATTTTCACTGTTCCCTTCATTGCTATATTTTCATGATTCTCCAGTCCTCTTTCAGTTTCCTCAATGGCTTTTTATTTTTGGTTTTCCTGGGCTTGAATTGTCTCTGCCTATAGCATCAATTGACAAATTCAATTTGACTGATATATTAGATTTAGCTTTTTCCTTTAACTCTTTCAAATATGAACCTCTTAGGATGTCATTTCTCTCCTTTTCTTTAAACAGTTTTTGAGAGAAGATAAGCATTTTTCAAAAGATTCTCTGTGTTATAATGTTATGCCATTGTTTAACTAACTGCCACATTTAAATGTGTTAATTTTATATTAAAAGAACCTAAGAATAACTTCCAATTTCAGCTCAGGATAATGCATAATATTATTGAATAGGATAACACTATAATGTTTTCCAGAAACTAGAAATTTTGTTCTTAAACTGTCCTTTACTTTAGCAAAACAACTGCCTGAAATGAAATAAAATGAACAAATGCACTGAAAAACTTATTTTGAATAAGACTTATTGTTTTTCTATAATTAGGTATTGTGTATGAAAATTTGGACGGCTCTCATATTCTTGACTCTGTACATTTTTCCACCGCAACCAAACTGCTAGAGGTATTGGCTTTATTTATTATATTTATTACAATTACTTCAAGGAATTTAAAACAGTCCCTTCTCAATTTACTCTTGCGAATAATCTTTTGCAGTAAGTTTAACTTAGAGATGGTATTGTTTCTGTGTCCCATTAATAAATTTATCTATTCCTTCATTAGATATAGTTCTATTCTTCTTTGATAAATCTTTTGTGTCTATATAAAACCATCCAATACAATATCAATTCCCACAGGTGGATTCTAAAGAACTCCATAAGAGCCTTACAAACCATTCCATCATCATCCGAGGGGAAAGTGTCTCTACGCCCCTAAGTGTGACTCAAGCAGCCGATGTGAGAGATGCCTTTGTCAAGGTAAAAGAGAACAGCTCTGTTTTTTCAATAATATTTCTCAGGGATAGACTTCTTGTACAATGTCACATGAAGGGACTGCAATGCAGGTTAAATGGTGGAAAATTGACTAGCCCTATTCTAACTTCTAAGGAATTAAACAGAGATCTACCCTGACTTCTCTATTATTCAGTTTTTATATCAAAAACTCTGGGCGGCTGTCGATAAGCCACAGAGTTACCTTGAGATAAGATGAATGGCTTATAAATTTTATAAATAAATAAATAATAATAAATATGTATCCTGCTACTGCTGTTGTAATATTGTAAATATGGCAGTGACACAGCATTCATGCTTCAGCATTGTACTACCAATGTGAAATGCTATAAATCAACCACATGAAAATCAAAATATTTGTATTAATCAAGCAGAGTGGTATATTCACCAACCTCCATATTTGGAAGATTAATAACTACCAAATTGAATAACACCTCAATGACTCTATCAAGTAGATACAATGGACCTATCAAAAACATTCGTGCATTTGCTCAGACTTTTAAAATGGAGAGGGTAGCACACATGCTTGGGAATGTCCTGTCTGCTACTTTTGAATGGCAGAGCTAATGTCACCTCTAATTACAAACTTTTTAGCCTTCATATGGCAATCATGTGCTACCTACTAAATAGCTGGCCATTAGAATTGTAGTCAAATTTTGAATCATCGCTGTGACAGAAGTTTCTGTACCTGATTGGTTCTCCTGATTGGTTTCCCAGATGCATCTGACACAGGCACGAATCGGCTTTTATTGATAGCTTTTTTAAAAAGCTCTATGTGTTTAGTACATGAATGTACATTTTAATAATTTGTATATAAAACCTAACTTCTCTTTATTCCATTTCTAAATCTAGGGGATCTATGGATTCCTCTTCATCTGGATAGTGAATAAGATCAATGATGCAATTTGTGGTCCTTCTTCTCCAGATGAGAAAAAAATGTACAAATCCATTGGGCTCCTGGATATATTTGGCTTTGAAAATTTTAACACTAACAGGTATAGTCCAGTTTTACTTCCTTTGAGAAATTTAGGGAAGTAGCATTTCAGAACTAATTCTTAGTGCTATCAATCAAAAAACATAGTTGGTGGCACTAAATAAATTCTTCATAGTAAGAAAAAAACAAACAAAGCCACAAAATGGGGAACCGAGAAATGAATAAATAAGAGATGTCTAATAGAGTACATTTTTGTATTTTCCATAAAATGAGATAGCGCTCTAGTGTATTTACTTACCTGATTTCTAGCTTACCTTAGTTTCCAAACTGAACCTTCAAACTGAATCTGATATTAATCTTAATATGCTGTAAGTCATAACCAGATTCTGATATTAGTTATTTTTCAATAAACAATCCCACTCAAAAATGACAGATTGTATTGTATGCATCACACTGAGATATATAGAGCGTACCAAAAATCAGGACCTGTAGGTAATTAATTATATAAATTACATTTAATATTGAAATTGGTGTCATTTTCTTCTAAACACTTCCATACTTGTCTGACACATGGCTTTACAGCATTGCTAAGCACAGTAACATTTTTTTCTGGGGGAAAAACCACCATATTGTGATTTGCCTTTGGGTTCTGACTTTTCGAACAATCTGTATGTTTCTGTTGGACACTAAATAATAATAATACCATCATCATTCATACAATCACAATATAATTTGCCAAAGGCAGCTTTCACTGGAACACCTTACATCCTCTGAGAATACCTTTCATATTATTAAACAAAAACATTTTCCCATCCCAGGTTCTCGGGAAGAACTCAGTAGGTGGATAAAAATGCCAAATCTAGTCTAAACATCTGGCTGACAGTGAAACCAACTATAATAATAAATTACCCTAATCTTAATTGTAAAAAAGACAACAAAAATCCCTCTGGATTGTGAACATTGCAAACCTGGAAATAGTAGAACAAAAGAGAAAGAACTAGAAACAACAACAAAATATAAAAACTTGTAAATTGAAGTAGAATGACTGTGGCAAAAGAAAGCAAAGACAGTAACCATAGTAATAGGCACCTTGAGAGTGATTGAAAGACATCTGGAGCACCACTTGAACACCATCAGCATTGACAAAAGCAACATTAGTCAGTTGCAAAAGGCAGCTTTTGCTTCAGGGTATATCCTGCACTGATACCTTTAATATTGTTAAACATCTGCCTATGGGAAGGACTTTATAAATGAACAAAAATGCCGAATCCAGTCTAAACATCTGGTTAATTTTGCAACAACCATAATAATAACAATTCCTTCTTTATAACAAATGGCATGTTAAAATACTGCAAATGTCTAGTTCAAGTTAGCTCTAGAACAGAGGTGGTATTCAGCAGGTTCTGACCAGTTCTGGAGAACTGGTAGCAGAAATTTTGAGTAGTTTGGAGAACCGGAAAATACCTCCTCCGACTGGAGATTTTACAGTATCCTTCCCCTGTCACGGCCACCAAGCCATGCCCACAGAACTGGTAGTAAAAAAGTTTGAATCCCACCACTGCTCTAGAACTGACTAATTAGTCTTACAATTAGTAATTGTAAGGGACACAGGTAGTCCCATCATTTGTTTAATGATGATTCAAAGTTACATGAACCTTGAAAAAATGATTTACAACCTATACTCCCACTACCATCGCAACATTTTCATGGTCACATGATCATAGTTTGGGTGGTTGGCAACTGGCTTGCATTTACAACCAGTTACAGTGGCAAAAATTGCTGGCATAAAAGGCCCATTGCAAAAGCTGAATTCCCTTAATCCCTTACATTAATCCCTTAATGTAAAAATTGCTATAAAAATCAGGCCCAACTCAATTTATGAACATAACAATTTATGATGGAAATTCCAATTGTGATCATAAGTGGAGGATATCTCTATTCTGAGGTCAAGCAAAGGTTTCCTGACCTGGGCTGCAAATTTTATTTTATTATTTATTTATTTATTTGATTTGTCAATCGCTTACAAGATAATATGTATAAGTATAAACATGAGTAAGAATGTAGGAAATAGGTACGAATAAATGGGGACAATAGAACAGGGGCGGTAGGCACGATTGTGCACTTAGGCACGCCCCTTACAGACCTCTTAGGAATGAGGTGAGTCAATAGTAGATAGTTTAAGGTTAAAGGAGTGGGGGTTAGAGGATGTAACAACAGAGTCAGGTAGTGCATTCCAGGCATTGACCATTCTGTAATAACCACTAGATAGGAACAAAGAAATACAGAACACTTTTTCTTTCTGCTGCCTTCTAGAGCAATTTTTCTCAAATTTAGCAGCATGGTTGACTGGGGAATTCTGAGACTTGAAGTCCACACATCTTAAAATTACCAAGTTTGAGAAATGCTGATCTAGAGCCTTCAACTATCATCCATCGCCTTGCAGTCTAGATCCTGTTAATCAATGGCAGCCAGCCAGAATTAATAGCCCAAGCATCTGGATTATATCAGATTGTGGAAGTCTGAATTATTGGCCATTAAAGCACTATAAGTATTCATTGATATCTTCTATTGTCCAAGAGTCAAGCTTACAAATGAGGCAATTGTGAAATGCAGAATATATATGTATTTATTATAGTTTAATCCATGCAGTATCGGTTGTTACTATGTATCATTGATACCATTACTTTTTTTATGGACCCCTGACTTTTAATATTTGTATTTATTTATGTAACTTTTATTTCTTGAGTGGGGGCCTTTGAAACACATTCTCAGTGAAAATTCTCCCTACAGTTTTGAGCAGTTTTGCATCAACTTTGCCAATGAACATCTCCAGCAATTCTTTGTACTCCACATCTTCAAACTGGAGCAGGAAGAATACTTAGCTGAGCAAATCTCCTGGAACCATATTGACTTCAAGGATAACTGTGCCGCTTTGGAAGACATTGTACTCAAACCCATGAACATCGTTTCCCTGATTGATGAGGAAAGCAGATTTCCCAAAGTAAGTATTATTTTTCCTTAAGGCTTCTGTGGGAATAAAACTACTGATTGTTGGGTGTTGTAGCAAATAGCCTGTATTTCACTGAAAATACTGATTATCTTGTGTTCAGTTACATGTTTTTGTTGCAGGTTATCAATAGAACAGAAATCAATTGCATTTCAAAACTGCAAAGAAAAGAAAAATGGCCACCCTGTCTTTCTTTTGTATTCTAGCTAGTGGCTTGTGGTCAACAAAGGAATATTTTTATTTTTATTTGACTAGTTTAGCTTTATTTCTAGATTCTGTTCTTTCTTCCTATCTCTGTGTCATAAAAGAGTGACATATTTGCACTATACAGATAGACCTCGACTTATCACAATTGAGCCCAAAATTTCCATTGCTAAGCAAAACTGTTATTGAGTTTTGTTCCTATTTTACACCTTTTCTTGCCATAGTTGTTAAGCAAATCATTGCAGTTGTTAAATTAGTAGCACAGTTGTTAAGTGAATCCGGCTTGGCCATCGACTTTACTTGTCAGAAGGTTGCCAAAAAGGATCACAAGACCCCAAGACACTGCAACCGTCATAAATATATGCTAGGTGCCAAGCATTAGAATTTTGATCATATGACTATGGGGATGCTACAACAGTTGTAAGTGTGAAAAACAGTCGTAAGTCACTTTTTTCAGTGCCATTGTAATCACAAATGTTCACTAAATGAATTGTTGTAAGCCAAGCACTACCTGTAAGAAACTGGCCGGAAATTGGAAGTCACTCCTGTCCCACTATCTTTTTGTGTGGACATGATCATTCTGTCTTTCTGTTTAGATAAGGAAATAACTTTCAAAACAAGACCCAGTGGATCATGGCTTGTCTAGTAATTAATAAAAGTGAGGATACTTCATTTGAGCCCACCATACCTCTTTATGGGTCAGGTTTGGCCCTTGTTACTTTTATCACAACTTTGTTATTATTGTTGTTGGTCATTTTAGCATAGTAACATAGTAAAGAGTGACTCCATTTTGCTTCAACTCATGTTTTTGAATATTCTCAGGGGACAGACACCACTATGCTAAACAAAATCAATTCGCACCATGGCAGAAGCAAAATCTACATTCCTCCAAAGAATGTCCATGATACAATTTTTGCTATTAACCATTTTGCTGGAGTTGTTTATTACCAGTCAAAAGGTGAGTGTCAGTACTTTGCCATTGGTTAATAGATCCTTCTTTTGACTAATACCAATAAGGAGATTATAGATGGTCCTCAACCTACAACCACAATTGAGCCCCAAAGTTATGTGGCTAAGTGAGAAATTTATTAAGTGAGTTTTGCACCATTTTACAACTTTTCTTGCCAAAAATTTTAAGTTGCAGTTGTTAAATTAGTAACATGGTTGTTAAGTGAATCTGGTCTCCCTATTGACTTGGCTTGTCAGAAGGTTGCAAAAGGGAATCACATGACCCCAGGACACTGCAATCATCGTAAATATGAACCAGTTGTCAAGCATCCAAATGTAAATCACGTGACCATGGGGATGCTGCAGTGGTTATGTGTGAAAAATGATCATAAGTCATTGTTGTAACTTCGAACGATCATTAAGCAAACTGTTGTATGTCGAGGACTACCTGTATTTGACTATAAATAGTTTTATTTACTGTTACTTAAGTCATTTCCCCACTAATGATTTTTAACATCTTTGTAGATCTACGGGCCATTTTAAACAGTTGTAAAGCCTGATGTGTATATTGTTGTTTTGGTTAGATGTTCTAGAAAATGCAAGAAACTTGGGTGGTTCTTCATTAGCAACCTCTTTTTTCTGCCAGAATATTTTTTTGTCTCACCAGCACATATCATAAAGAGCATAAAAAGTATAAACAACTCTTAGAGTAGGGTTTAAAATGGGTTTTTCCTCTTGCCCTGACACATCTATTTTTGCACATAGGATCTAGCATACTGCACTACTTGCTGTTGACTAGGGCAGGTTTCAGAATCTACTTCTGAAATAGCTTCTGTTGGCCTCTTGAGGCTGCTGTGGGCATTTCTGTTCCTTCTGATGGCTGGTTGTTGCCTTCCAGAACTGGTTTGGCTAGAGAACAGACTGGACACTTGGATGGCAAACAGGCATCTGCCAATGTAGTGGATGACTAGCACTTTCTGAAGCGCTTGTCTAGTCACATGCAGGCTCCTTAAAAACACGAGTTTATTGACTTCTTAAAAGAGTGCCAGTCTCTGCATTACACAGAAAATTGATTTAAACTAGAAAGGAGAGCTAAGTTATACATATTATTATTTCTATCTTACAGGTGCTTCAGTTCAAAGGGGCTTTGCGTAGCTGTACTTTTTCCTGGTTTTATTATTTGTATTAAGCACCCGAGAGTCTCATACAACTGCAGTTTCTAAACCCTCTATTTGTACAATGTATCATAGTTACTTATATCTTCCTTAATGTGGAGGAGAAGGCAAGGGCCATTTGGGCACTCTGCTCGGGTGTTGGCAGCATAGGAGTGCTTTATGCCAGACACAACAATAAATTTTGACTGTCCAGACATTTAGCTCCATATTTAGGAACTAGAAACTTGCTATGGCAAAAGCCGACAGACTTCATGTGACTTCATGTGACTAGATAAGTTTCCATATTGCAGCCCAGAAAAAAGCCATATAGAGAAGGAAAATCTTCTGTCAGCAGTACTTAGAAATCAGGATGTGTCCATATATGTCCATATATGTATGTATGTGCTCCAAGATTTAAAGACTTTTTCTCCAGTCCTTTTTATTCAATGGAAATTTGACTGCTCTCTTTTTGGCCTTGATATTGGAAAGTATTTGATCAAAGTTTACCTTATGGTTCAGTCTTATCTGAGAATTTGTCAGGTAACAGATGTGTCATGAGTAGAGATCACTCAAACCAAGAACATTAAGAGCACTCTCTGCTATTTCATCCTCTACTCCTCCCTCTCCTGCTATCAGTAGAAGGTGGTAGCAAAATTCATCTGCTCCATCCCATAAGGGAGAGTGATTAGCATTGTTCTTTTCATTGTCAGATATTTGATGAGAGTAGGAACAGAACCAGGAGAAATAATCTTTTTTTTAAAAAAAAATGTCCATCATAAGTGAGAACAAAACAATGTTCAAGGCTTGTAACTGGCAAAATATGAAAATATAGGCAATATAACCTATGTCATTATATCTTTTTGCTAGCTCCGGACTGATAATTAGCGCTTCCAAACTGCTCATGAGAAAGAACTGTACAATTCTTTCAATTGCAAAGGGTTAGTTTAAATAAATGGACTGCTAGCTTTTTGTGCAAGGAAAATGCTTAACCCAATAAAAAAACATGAAAATGGAAAGAACGCATGTATTGTGTTTCTTCCCCACAGGTTTCCTTGAGAAAAATCGTGATATGCTTAGCTCAGACATAATGCAACTTGTTCATTCATCCAAAAACAAATTCCTCAAAGAGATCTTCCAGGTAGACACAAACATGCATGTTCTGCCTTTTGGCCGTGGGACCATTAAGCACCTTGGAAAGGATTCCTTAAAGGTTAGATTGATAAATGGATGACACTTTCTGTTCCTACTTTGATAGATTTATGTATCAAATTTAAGTCAGCTGGTGCTCAGGGCATAAGTTGAGGTCTGTGGTTCACAAGGCAAACCTTTCAGATGACGGGATGACAGACGCCAGGTGCTGAGTCTCCTAGGCTCCAGCAACTGAAGGTAAGTGGGAAAAGGGAAAGAGAAGGATTATTCAAGGTATATTAGGGTTGGTGACACTTGGCGATATAGGGTGTTTGGAATTGGGGTCATTGCCATTGTAGAGATTTGGGGTCATTCCCATTGTAGAGATGCAGATTTGTGCAGTTTATCTTGGCTATTATGAAATTCTTTTCTGTTATTCTGTAGAAAGAAAGGAAGATAGACCAGATCTATGACCAAAGTGACAGGAAAAACATGGGTTAAGTGCATAATGAGCAGAATGAATGAACAAAAGATGTATTCCAAATTCACATAAGGGAAGGGCTTAAAGAACCACCAGACTTACAAGACTCTGTTTTTATAGACAAAGTTAATAAAAATAGTTTTGGTTTTTGTGTGACCGAACTTTGTGTTGATTTCTTTGGTTTTCATAGTAGAGTTCACACACTATAAGATTATGTAATAATGTAGCATTTCATATCTCACAAAATTTAAGGAGAAATAATGCGCATCCTTCTTTCTGCACATGCAAAATGATTTCACAGCATCTTCTCATGTATTTATCTTCTTTAGATTTGGATTGTCATATAAGTCTTGCTGACAATGGAATAAATGAATACACTTTCCCCTTTTAATTTTTTCTGGTCTAAATGTAATTTTTTTTAATACAACAACTACTGTAATTGTATCACTTACTCAAAAATATATGAGTTACTGCTTGGTAAATACCACCTCAAAGTAAGTTAAAACTTGATTAACTCCAGGACTCATTGTTTTTCTTGCAGTACTATCTTCTTATTTTCAGCTAACAAAGTGATGCATATCTCAATGTTTTAACTGCAATTTTAATCACTGCTGTACAATTTCTTTCAACTCTGCCACAATATAATTAAATCAATATGGGGACAATATACATCCTTGTCTCGCTCTATTCCCTTTTATGAATCACTCGGAATCTCCAAATTCAGTCCTTATAGTAGCTTTCTATACTAAAGATTCCTCAGCCTTCACAGTCCAGTATGATCTACACAAAGACTTTGCTGTAGGAAATGAAGAAAAGGAAAATGGATATATTCGCTTGATCTCTCCAATATCAATCTAATTTTATATCAGAACTTATGTCCCTCTGTCTTTTCTGAAGCCTGCTTATTCATTTGGCATTTCTTTTTCTGAATATAACTCTGTTCTTTATATCATCTTCAAACAAAGATTTGCCTCTGTAAGTTCAGTGGTTTGATACTTTGTGTGTTGTCTTGCATTTCCTATACTGAATACAGTATAAACTTTATAAACCAAACTTTTCTAAACTTTAGGCAATCTTGTTCCATATTTGTGGGCATTGTTAGAAATTTAATGGTCTCATCTTCTGCAGATTTAAACAATGTAGTGCTATTTTGTTTGTGCTTTCCTCTTTGACAGTTCATCCATCATCTTGCTATCTGGTGAAGTTGTATCCTGAATGTATCCTGCCTCTAAAAATATTTCTGTTGTTCTATAATCACACCCAATATGGAGTGTCAGTATAACCTTCCCACATTTCTTTAATCTCATTTTGCCTCTTTCACATTTCTTCCATAAATACCTGTTTTAATATTCTAATCTTCAGCATAAATTACAATGACCTAATTGGAAAAAAACAAAGGACAAACCTGAAAAAAGGGCAAATCTGAAAATGGTTCATAAAGATTTAAAAATTAATTGTTCATGTTTATAACTTTCTATTACAAAGGAAAATACTGCCTGGCCTTGGGGATCAGAGTGTGGTAAAAAGCCCATAAAATGGTTGTACTGTTTTTGAATTATTATGGTCACCTGATGAATGTATTTCATAGTTTTAATTATTTTTATTACTTTCTACACACACACACACACACACACACACACACACACATCACTTGATTACATTTTGGATGCTTGGCAACGGGCCAACCTTTACAGCCAGTTGTAGCATCCAATGGTCACATGACTGCAAATTGTGACATTTTTAGTCCGTTTCCAATGTTTACTTCTGGTTTCCAGCAAAAACCACCTATTTGGAAAGAATGTATTAACTTAAAGACCATGGCATTCATTTAAAGACTTTGGTATTTGCTTAACGATTGCTGCAAAAAACCTGAAAAATTTGGACCCAGTTACATGATGCCTCAATTTATGACCACAATGACTTATGATCATACTTATAATTACAGTAAGCCAAGGACTATCTGTCCTGTTTGCATTGTTGTTTTATTCTGTGTCTTAGTATTGTTTATGTTTTAATTGTAAGCTGCCCAAAGTCACTAATGTGAGATAGGTGGCTATATAAATCGAAATAAAACAAATAAAAAAATTGAAGAGCAAAACCAAGAAAATAAATAAAAAATTGTATCCCTCTGTTAATGCAATTTAGGATTGCATTAGCTTTTTGGCTGCTGCTGTATACTGCTGGCTCATATTTAGCTGGTTGTCCACTAAGACTCCAAAATCCCTCTCAAAGTTACTGCTATTGAGTCTGGTTTCACCCAGTCTATATGTGTACTTTTGGTTTTTCTTGCCTAAGTGTAGGACTTTTCTTTTCTCTACGTTGAATTTCATTATGTTAGATATGGCCCAGTGTTCTAGTTTGTCAAGATCCATCTGGATCTTGAGCCTATCTTCTTGGGTGTTAGCTATTCCTGCCAGCTTAGTATCATCTGCAAATTTGGTAAATTCTCCTCTATTCCCTCATCTAAGTCATTAATGAAGATATTGAAGAGTACAAACTATTTGAATTTTTTCCAGTTTGCTTTTCATAATACAGGTTTTCTCCTCTCTTCCTTTTTACATAAAGTATTGAATCTCTTAACACTGATTTTATATTCTATGTTCCCTGGGCCATATCTTATTAACATTTATATCCTCTCTTATTTTCAAAGTATGATCTATATGTGTATGAGAAATTATTGGTAAGATACAATAATCTGCAAAGTTGTGTACTGCAAAGGTGAAATTTATGCTGCTTCTTTCTCCTGTGAGCATTTAAATTGTTTGCTGATGGTAATTTGGTATTTATGCCATTTCTGTACTTTCTGCCCTCAGGGTTCAGATTCTGGCAAACGCTTGCCTACACTAGCAGGACAATTCAAACAGTCTCTGGAGCAATTGATGAAAATCTTGAATAGCTGCCAGCCTTATTTTATCCGCTGCCTTAAACCCAATGACCAAAAAAAACCAATGGTAAACTTCTATTATGCTCCTCATATGTCATGTCATATGGTTTCAGGAGGGGGGAATTAATTTTGTAATAATTATATAATTGATTAATAATGTACTTCTTAGATTTTTAATAGTTTCCAGAAGACATAGTTATATTAGTCTGTATGCCAGAATATGTCTTATGATAAATTCCCCAGAATTCCAGGAGCTGAAGTCAATACATCTTAAAGTTGCCAAGTTTGAAAAACACTGACCTAACCACAAGTAGAATATATTGCTCTTTTAGATTTTCCTTATATAAAGGATATTACCACATGAAAATATGTATAATAAAATTGCAAAATTAAGTAAGTAAAAATTTAATACGTTCATTCTGCATTTGGAACATTCTTGGTTAGTTTAAGTCAGCTATCACAGCATTTTCAAGACATGCCATATCCAGGAGAAAAGTAATGATGAAAATGTGCTTTTTCTTGTTGTCACTGGATTGTTCAAATTGTAAATTATTTTCAGCGGAGAAGACCATTTATTCAGAAATTCTCAGGCAAGGGAACAATTAACTTCATTTTACATTACTTTAATGATGATGTGTGTACAGATGATACTTCATGTACAGATATGCTAACTAACCCTCATGAGTGGCAGCATCTAGATGAACTTGGCTGATCTCAAAAAGATAAGCAGGATAAGACTTGGTTAATATTTAGAGGGGAGGCTACCAATAGCAGGGCAATAGTTCTAACTGGGATATGGAAAAATAACAGAAACAAACCATTGCCATTTTGTTGCCAAGAAAATGAGATGGCTGACTTGATTAAATAATTAGAAGTCACATTTGATGCAAAGACTGTTTTATTTCAGAACTATACTTCTTTCTCTGTACAACCAGGTGGTTTAGACCTACCTGAAAATATGATTTAAAAACAAAACAAAACAATATTTTTCATTAAATCAAGTCTGGATTTGGTTAGTTAGGGAATGTTTACGCTTCCATGGTAAATTTGGCATTTCTTTAATTTTCAGCAATTTGATAGAGAACTCTGTATCCGACAACTGTATTACTCTGGCATGATGGAAACCATCCGGATTAGGAAAGCTGGCTACCCAATTCGCTATAGCTTTGCAGATTTCTTTCAGAGATACAGAGTCCTACGGCCAGTGCCAGTTAGGGAACAGGTATCCTTCCAAGATTGGTTATTGTTTTAAATTATTCTTTTATAATAGTAAGTGGTAATAAAGCAGATCGATCTGTTCTAAAATCTGTTCCTACAGCATTTATTAAGTGCAATATCAGCATCCATATTAAATTCTATAAAGAACTATAAATAAATTTGAACAGCTCACATTCTGCTGGAGAGAAGTTCCCTGGGCTCCAGCACGAGTCCAAAAGCCTGGAATACAAAACCTCTGGTCCCGGTGATCTACCCAGATTGGATCTATAAATATTCTTAGTTTTCCTGTAGTACCTAGCAATCTATTTATTTTACTTTTGTTGAACAGTAATTATCAAACATTTTGAAGTACGTGAATAACATAAATCTGTGGAAAAAATAGTAATCGCTAACACTTTAAAATCTTAGATACTCAACAGTTAAGATGTTTCTTTAATCAGCTTATTAGAAAAGATTGCACATAATCTTAGAATAATGAAACATCAGAGGCAGGAACCAGAGTACTATCAATTTGGGCTGGTGTTACATGTAGTAATTTATTAATATGGTTTAATGCTTGGTGATATCTCATTTCTCCTGTTATGAGATATTATTTACAAATAGAGAGGGAAAATGTATAAAAAAGGTACTTCCTAAGCATGGCCACAGATTGAAATTTATTTATTTATTTATTTATTTATTTATTTATTTATTTATTTGATTTGCCAATTGTTTACAAGATAATAAGTATAAGTGTATACATAGTTGTGAATACATGAAATGGGTACATATAAGAAAAATAAAAGAAGAATAAGAGAAACAATAGGACAGGGATGGTAGGCACGTTGGTGCGCTTATGCACGCCCCAGTTGTTAAAAATTCATATAAATTTGATGACTCAATAAATAGAATTATTTCTTATGTAGCCTTTGTATTTTTACTCTAAATTAAATGAGATTGTTACCTTCCATTCCAGCTGAAAAATGATGTTCGTCAGAGTTGCATTTGTATCTGTAAGAAAGTAATGGAAGATGAAGATTGGAAAATTGGCAAAACCAAAGTTTTTCTGAAAGTAAGTTCCACCGTTCCACATGCAGATACTTTTCATGACTAACCGTGCAAACCTATATTTGTTTCCAAGAATCAAATCCAATTGGATTCAGTGGAGTGTATGGTACGCCCAATTGCATGTAGGCTGATGGTATAATGCATTTTTACTTGAAGTATTCAGATAATTTAATTCTTGGTTAAAAATAAGTCCCAGAGCCCCATTCTGTTTTGTGGGATAAATCCAAGGCCATACTGTCGGTCATAAGTCACTTTTTTCAATGCCATTGTAACTTTGAATGGTCACTCCACACAAGCAAAATCCCAGCAAAGGAGAGGAAAAAAACTCCAGAGAAGTTCCTGAGACAGGAAGTCTAGTCCTGCCAAGAATATAATAAAGGTTAACGGAAAGGCAGTTTCTGTAAGCAACACCAGAATGTTTCCTTCCTGCCTTCCTTACAGGATTAGGCCAGTAATTTCTTCTAACAACCGGTTCTCCGAACTGCTTAGACTGTTAACAACTGGTTCTAGCAAATAGGTGCAAACTGGTAGAATCCCACCCCTGCATACTGAAAAACGAGAATATTCAAGTGGAAACTAGAGATAGGTGGAATCAGAATAAAAAATGCAGGACGTAAATTGACTTTGAAGATAGAAAATAATTATTCTATCTCTGATCAAATAAATGCTCCCTAGATGCCAGTGGTGGTATTCTACTGGTTCAGCTGAACAGGTAGCTCCGAGGATCATCTGGGAGCAAACTGTTTTGCTCTGACGATCAGCTGCTGGGCCCTCCCACCCACCCCAGCTCTATACTGACCTTTATTTCCTGCTTTTGAAGCTCAGCTGCTTCGCACAGCACAGCAGATTGCCGCATGTCAGCTGTTGAACACACAGGGACAGTGCAGGATTGCAGGAGAAGGTCAGTAGGAAACCTCTGCACGCACACGCAAAGCGCGCCCACCAAGCCACGCCTACTGAACCGGTGGTAAAACAATTTGAATCCCAACACTGCTAGATGCCCAAAAAAGGATGTGCAAATCATAATATATAGACAACTCATTGAGATATATTTTTACCCCACCTCTGAATTTTTTTCTTATAGGTAAGATAAATTGCTCATGATCAATAATATGTAATTTTGAAAAAACAAAAAAATCTGGATACTTGAATGGTGAAATACTCCCATGTACATATATAAACTCATTACTTTATTCCCTTCTGGATAAGCAATGGTACGGGCAGCACAGAAGAGGAGTAAGACATAGTCTTTCCTTTTTGAGGATCTCCTCAAAAGTGTTCCAAACACAACTTTCTTTCTTTTCTCTCGTTTATTCTGTTTTGCAGCTTGATCCTGATTCATGCTTTTTATAATCAAACCCAGTGGTATGATGGAATTGAATTATACTGGCTGGCAAAAGCTGACAAAGTTTCTGGAATTCTGTAAGCTGAGCCACTATGCATGGCATGCAAATTTGCTGGTCTGTGTCTAGCAATGTGGCAGCAGCAGCAGCAGAGCTAGCAGAACTGATTTTTAAAAATATTTATCAGTGTACCATTGATCAATTGCCAGTGGGTTTAGTAATAAATCAAATTGTTAAGAAGAACAACTACATCCACCTACCGTTGTGTATATAGAATCATTTAATCTGTTTTGCTTCAGCCTCAGCTCAAATAGGTGGGCTTTTATTTTTCTCAAAATCTTTAATAGGATTATCATGATACGGTCCTGGAGGTGCAGCGTGACAAGGCGCTCAGAGAAAAAGCCATTCTAATTCAGAAGGTGTTGAGGGGATTCAAAGACAGGTAAACATATTTAATGGTAGTGACAAACGTGAATTACTAAGAGTCACAGTTGTGCATTGTTTAGATCAGGGTTTTCAAACTGTGTTCCATGGAGTCCTTGGGTTCCTCAAGAACATGATGAGGTTCTGTGACAGATTAAAAGAGAAACAAAAAAGTTCACTTTAGTGAAATCAGATTTCCATGACTGTAGCTTTGACTTTTGATCAGCAGTTTCCAAGATTTTTCAAAACCAACAAGTTGCACAGCCTGAAAAAGCTTGGAAACTCCTGTCTAGAATGCAAGAAGGTCCTTAAAATGCAAAAATGGGCCAGAGATGAAAAGTTGGAAAAGAAATAGGAAATGGTGATGAATGGAACATTGGGTGTGCTCTGAACACTCCTTTAATATTCTTTTTCTTTGTGGAATAACTTAGTTGTGTTTGTTGTTATTCTTTCTCTGTAAAGGAAACAGTTTCTGAAGCAGAGACAAAGTGCTGTAATTATACAGGCAGCCTGGAGAGGATACTTTGCTCGGAAAAAATTTAGAATGGTAAGAATTTGCCTTTTACCCTGAGGTCCAGCAACAGAAGATGTTTTGCACCACAATTAATGTCAGGCTGTTCTTTTTCCCATATAGCTCATATTGGGATTTGAACGTCTGCAAGCCCTTTTCCGGAGCAAACAGCTTATGAAGAAGTATGAAGAAGCCCGTGGCAACATGATTAAGTTTCAAGCATTGTGCCGAGGTTACCTGATGCGCCAGAAAATTGCTGAGCAGTTGAAAGCTGTGTGTGTGATACAGGCTTATGCCAGGGGAATGTTCGTTCGTAAGACTTTGCACAAAATGAAGAAGGTAGGTAGTATGATTGGAAGCATGGAAATAGGAATCGCAGCACATGTCTTGTCCATAGAAATTGTGCAGAAGAGTAATTTTGATGATAGAATAAAATAGCTATGCTTCCAAAGCGAGTTAATTATATAGCTTGTTTACTATCATTAAGGTGGAGAACCTGGGAAAACATAGCTAGGACATGAGAACATTAGTATTATAATAGTATGTTTCTGTATTAAATGCTTAAAAATAACAGTCAAAATTACCTAAGATTATTGCCAATGCAACAATGCACTATTACACATCCTTGACAGATGGGAATTTGGCATTTACTTAATTTTTTCAGAGAAAGAGAGTTCACCCTTTCCTAAGACAGTTGGTTTTGCTAGTGATTAGCTAACTATCAGTTGTCTTAATATCCAACCAAAATCTACTCCCCTCCAGTTAAAATCGATTCCTTCTTGTCTTATCTTCTAAAACATATGAAAAAAATTGCCCTATCTCTGACGTGTCATCGCTAGTTTGACACCCCTGCTTTAAGGCCTCTTCCTCTGCAAATCTTACAATACCCATGATTCTAAGGACAGCTCATTCAGTAAATGCTACCATCAGGTACTCTTCCACAAAGAAATACTTTCTGGACCAGAGTTTCTTGGGAGTAGTCAGCAGAAGGAAAATACATATGATGCTATTAAGACACTTTCAGAATGGAGTCAGACAGTCAGTAAGAAATCAAGTCTATGTCATGTGTTTAGTTTAGTTAAATAACTAAAAAGTTGAAAGTTCAAAAGGAAAGGAGAAAAATGATAAAATAAAACTGACTTCTGAAAGGATTATCTCAGTAGCAATTCCTTTAACCAGGAAGACAGAGACAGAAAAACAACAAGGTATAATAAAGTCATCAAACCCAAATAATCTTCTGTACAATCAAATCCAAATATCAACCCATATCCAGCTTCACTATTTCTTAGATTGCAAGTCTTTTCTTAGATTTCCCGCCTAGTTTCTGGATCTGGGCACTGCTTATCTTTTTAAGCCAGCCCTTGGAGAGTACTCTCATTCCTCTATGAAAGGCAAGAAAAGGACAATATCTTAGTTCATTAGTGTTTGATTTTTGCAAATTTCAGATTTCTCTGCCCTGTATCAACATATCAGGTTTTCCTTTCTGAATCTCTTGAGTGGAATTTCTTTTGCTTAACTAGATGAGGCATTTCACTGGGCCAAAATAAAATAAATAGCTTTCTGTTAACATTACAACAACTTTCGGTTCCTTAAAGCAATTTTTAATAAATTGCCGGGAATACAATTATGTTTGAAGTTTCCAGTGTCAAATCATTGAATAGTAACTAATTTTGTTACTTTGTTCTGATGATGCAGGAGTAGCTATAAAGTGCAATTTGTACATATAGAATATAGAATTCTTTATTAGCCAAGTGTGATTGGACACACATGGTGCAAATGCTCTCAGTGTACATAAAAGAAAAGACATATTCATCAAGAATCATAAGGTATAACAATTAATAATAGTCATAGGGTACAATAAGCAATCAAATCATACTAGGAAACAGTCAATATAAATTGTAAGGATACAAGCAACAAAGTTACAGTCACAAGTGGGATGGGTGATAAAGAGTGATGGGAAGATTAATAGTGATAGTAGTGCAGACTTTGTAAATAGTTGGACAGTGTTGAGAGAATTATTTTATTTATAAAGTCTTAACTCAATCCCCAGTTTAATGGATACCTATCATTTGTTTATAGGAACACTTGGTAATTCCGGAATCAGAAGATTATATGAAGAAATTAAAAGTAAAGGACTCTAAAGAAAACAAACATGAATCAATGTATGATGTCATCAGTGATCAAGAAATGGTGGACAGAGTATTTGGTTTCTTGCCTTCTTTCATTGGGGGGCAAGAAGGCCAAGCTCCTTTGGGCTTTGAGGTAAGAAGAAGTGGAGAAATAATTAAATTGAACATCTATTGTAATAGTATGTGGGAATGGCCTTCTGAGGCAGGAGAAAGAGCCTAGACAACAATCTGGTAAACAAAATCTGAGTCCAAAGGAGAAAGTGTCAAAAGCATTTAGGAGGGACCCTCCCTAGTTTTTGGTGAGTAAAAATGAGTACCAGAGGGGTACTTTCAAACTTTCAAACTTCTGTTAATGTAACCTTGTAATTAAAATAGGACTAGTATTCCTGATTGTGCTTCTTGAACAATGAAGTAATTTTGAGGAATTAACCACATTTGAAAATTTCAAAATATATCATTAAAATGGCTGCATTGCTGATTATTACCAAAATAAAAATAATGATTTACCAGAAAGCAAAGTGATAAAATTATTTCACATAACCTCCTTTATCCATCACCTCAACTTACAGTTGCCCTATTTCTGGGCAGTGAATACCTTACAAAAGCAGAGCAATGGATTTCATCCATTCATCATTTTTATTTTCTGGGAGTCATTATGAAGTTGATTAGAAAATCCCCATTTCTTAAAAGCCAAATCTCTGAGATTGTCATAGCAATTTGAGCAAGATGGCTGTCTCGTCAATTCCCAGAGCTATAAACCTGCTGGAGACTGCTGCCTGTCAATCTCTTTATGGGGAGCAGCTGTCTGGAGCGCTTGTCCAGAGAGGCCTACTTGCTGGTTCTTCATCCCACTTCATTCATAGGCATCAATTTTTGTGAAATCATCTTCTGTCTACCATTTCTTCCCTGGAATGCAATCCTTGAGTGCTGGAGAGGTCCTTATTTAAAGGTTTTCTGTCTACAACTTCAACATCTTATCTCAAGGCAGAGAACAGAAGTTAACAACACTAGGCAAATAAAAACAAACTATTTTTCTATTTCTGTACCTTGTAGGACCTGGAGAAAAAAACACAGACACACAAGCTGCAAGAGGTAGACCTGGATATGATCCCCATGACGATAGAGCTGGACGAGGAGGCAGATGACTTGGCACAATACACCTTCCCCAAATTTGCAGCAACTTACTTCCAAAGATCTGCCACTTATACGCACATTAGACGTCCACTGCGCCACCCTTTGCTTTATCATGATGAAAAGGATGATATTTTGGTAATTATTTACCTTAGTTTAATGTGTTTTTAAAATCAAAACTCCTTGAAGTAATATTTAATAAATTGCCTTCAGAATAAATTTGGAACAGCTTATTTTCTTTCCCTGATAACAGGCAGAAAAATTAAAACGACTGTTTGTTACATAGCCTTCAGGGATTGAAGAGTAAGTTGTTCTGAATCAGACTATGTTTTCCTGATAATTTGGAAAGTGATGCTGCAGACTGTATTGAATATTACAGAATGGATGTTAATGCAGTGATGTGGATAAGAAATGTTTGGTAATTTTGATTTTTATTGTGTTTGCATATTGTATACCCTAAGTATATTTTAAGGCATCAGATTAGAAACAAGGAGACTGAATTTTAGAACCACTTTAGGCACCAAGCCAGCTGGGTGACTTTGGGTCAATTGTTGTCTCCCAGGAAGCCCTAAGAAGAAAGAAAAGGCAAACCATTTCTTATAATCCTGCCAAGAAAACTGCAATGATTGCAGTTGCTAGGTGTTAACACTGCCTCAAAGGCAAAAAAAAAGTAAATTTAGAAGATGTTATCATAGCAATTAATGGTCATGGCCTTATCTCCTATAAATTGGTCTTTTTCAGTCATCTAATAACTGCAAATATTAAAAGTTCAACCTTACTTCAATTTTAATTAATCTTTTATTTACAAAACAGGAAATATTTGTCATTCTAAGCTCAGTGAAAAAGTTACCAACAAAAGATCAGAAACAAAGAAACCAACCTATCCTACCATGACAAGGAGTTGCAGACAATTGACGCAATGGTCATGAATAAAATTATCTCCTTTAATCCCCACGTTCTCATTTTGTCTAATTGCAGAAAGACACAAATCGCTGCAGTTGAGGAACTCAGTTTGTCCTCAGTTTTTCAAGATTTATAGGCAAATTGGCTCAGGACACACAAGCATCCTTTGTAGCTGTTTCAAAATGAATCAGAGGTGGTATTCAGCAGATTCTGACCAGTTCTGGAGAACCAGTGGTGGAAATTTTGAGTAGTTCAGAGAAATATCGGCAAATACCACCTCTGACTGGAGATTTTACAGCATCCTTCCCTTGCCACGCCCACCAAGCCACGCCCACAGAACCAGTAATAAAAAAAATTGAATCCCACCACTGAAATGAATATTCTATTGTTTGGCAGATAAATTCTTCAGTAGATGTTGTTTTCAAGCACTTTTTAAGGACAAATCTATATGGAAAACTAAAGACTTAGACCCTGGTAGAAAAGTCTGCTGTGGTGTTAATCTTCTGTATACCTGATACTCTGTCAACCATCCACTGAACTAAAATACTAACATCAATCTATTTGGGCCCTGAAGGCTTTAAAGTATTCATTTGTTACTAAACTATCTAGTTAGAACTATTTGTTTGTTGGTTAGTTTAAAATCTTTTCATTTAGCCAATTTTGAAAACATTAACTGTATTTAACATGATCATGTAGAAATACAGAGACATCATTTCACCATCTCTCTTGCAATTTGAAGGGTTAGCCAGTAAAAATGGCACATTATGATACATGATTTGTTTATTTATTTATTTATTTGATTTGTCAATCACTTACAAGATAATAAGTAGAAGTATAAACATGAGTAAGAATACAGGAAATAGGTACAAATAAATGGGCACAATAGGACAGGGGAGGTAGGCACAATTGTGCACTTATGCACGCCCCTTACAGACCTCTTAGGAATGGGGTTGAGGTCAATAGTGGATAGTTTGAGGTTAAAGGAGTGGGGGTTAGAGATGTAACAACAGAGTCAGGTAGTGCATTCCAGGCATTGACCACTCTGTTGCTGAAGTCATACTTTCTGCAATCAAGTTTGGAGCGGTTAACATTGAGTTTGTATCTGTTGTGTACTCTTGTATTGTTGTGGTTGAAGCTGAAGTAGTCATTGACTGGTAGGACATTGTAGCAGATAATTTTGTGTACTACGCTTAAGTCCAACCGTAGGTGGCGTAGTTCAAGGTTGTCCAAGCCCAAAATTTCAAACCTGGTGATATAGGGTATTCTGTTGTGAGCAGAGGACTGTAATACTCTTCTCGTGAAATACTCTGGACTCGCTCAATTGTATTAATGCCTGATATACAGTGCAGATTCCAGACAAATGAGCTGTATTCGAGTATTGGTTTACCAAATGTTTTGCATGCCGGAATTAGCAATTCTATATTTCCGGAGGAGAAGCTTCATAAGATTAGATTTACAACTCTTAATGCCTTTTTGGCAATGCTGTTACAGTGAGCTCTGGCACTTAGGTCGTTAGATATGAGTACTCCGAGGTCCTTGACAGAGTGAGGGTCATCAATGAGGTCATATCTGCCTAGCTTGTATTTGGTGTACTGTTTTTGTTTACCTATGTGTAGGACAGAGCCTTTGTTGGTCAAGATTTGGAGTTGCCAATTGTTTGACCATTCAGACACATAATCAAGGTCACTTTGAAGAGCAGTAGCATTGTCGGTGGTGTTGAATAGTTTTACATCATCTGCAAAGAGGACACAGTTGCTTGTAAGGTGATCGCAAAGGTCATTTATATAGAGTATAAAGAGTGTGGGAACGCTACCTTGGTGGACACCACTGTTAACTGGAGCAGGGTTTAATATAGCACTCCCTATTTTTACTATTTGTTGCCTGTTTGACAGGAATGCAGTAATTCACTTATGAAGGGATTAAATTAATTAAAAAATGACACCCAGCAACTTACTTCATAAAACAAAATAAAGACCTAACATTGAGATAAAAACAAATATGCAGCAAGATGATAAGTGTAATTTAGATTAGCCTTCTCCAATTTGCATATTCCATGTCTTATAGTATTTTCAGACAAAAATTGTGCCCATTTTTCATAGTAACATTTATACAATGAATTATTAATATTTGTTTCCACATTTTATTTTGGGAAATAGGCCTTAAGTACAATAATTGTATTTAATGCAAACCACATACAGTTTTCTCTTTCCTAAATGTTGGCCTCAAAATAAGGCAATAGTGAAATTGTAACAAAATTGATTTGATTGGATAAAGTGGCAAAATGATCTATTGAATGAGTAGCCAGTGTTTCTCTTACCACATAATGCTTATTATTATAACTGTATGGTAAACGTACAGTGCACTAATTCTAATAATGTTCAATAGGAATTAAGTACATTTATATGCTGATGTACAAAAACCAAGGAAATTACTTTCTGTCCATTCAGCTAATAAGTATTTATTAATCAAATGCAACATAATTGCAAGGACAGTATGTCTACTATCTGTTCTTTCTAGGCATCTCTAGCTGTGTGGACCATCATTTTGCAGTTCATGGGTGATTTGCCAGAAAGAGTGCAGAATATCAACAGCAAGAGAAGTTCCAACGAGACCCAGATTTATGAAAATTTTGGCAAGAAAAACCATCCGCAGCCTGTAAGCAGTTCTCATGCAGATGTAGTAAGGAAAATATATTTTTCATTGCTATGAGCTTATTTAAATAGAAAAATCAGAATCCTAATTATTTGTTGCTCCATACTGATTTATCATTAATTATTATTTGCCCACCAGTGTTACTTGCAATGACAGTTTCTGGGGAAGGATTCTCAGACGAATAATTTATTGTGATGCTGGGAGCCCCTTGCTCTCATTCTCACTCCCTCTTCCTGAAGTGCTGATTCGGACTAGGACTGTCTGATCCAGTTCAATAGAAACATGTAGAGTGCAGAGACACTGTTGGAAATTCGGATTATGTTTCATAATTCTATTTTGCTTTGCAACATGCTAGCTTCCTATAATTTTAATTAAAAAGATCGAACATAGGACAAGAAGCCTAAATAGCATCAGGAGAGGTATCAGATGTCACTGACCATGTTGGCATCTGTGATCTAGGCAATTGCTACAACATGTAGTTCAGTGGTTCATAACATGGGCATCTGTGGACAATTTGAATCCTGCAGCCAAAAAGTATTTGTAGTCTGTGAAGGGCTTGATAATGCTCATCTTTTTGAGATCAAACATTTGTGTACCGTTTACAAACAACAGACTCTGGGCTTCAGTGATTTCAGAAATGTTCTGTCTTTGGGACTTAAATATTAATTTATTTCAGTTACAGTTTGCTGATTTGAACGAGTACAATTATTGGAGACAGGGTAGCTGTCCGTAATTGTTCTATTGTTAATTGTAAGAAGTTTTGGTTTAGCCAGAAAATTGGGTCAAAATTTATTAGCATTCTGTTTAGTGAAAAGAAAGCACTACATTCCATTTGCATGATAGAAGGTATAATTTGTAACATTGCCAGGAAGTTAGTCTAAAGTGTCTACAAAACACTAGCATGATCCTCATCTTGTTCTCCATAAGAGAAAAACATCTTACTAACATGGAAGCAGACTCAGTTCAATTCTTTCTATATGTTCCATAACAGACTAAGAAACCTAGTTCCATTCCATCAGTAAAATGAGAATCTTTTGCTGCCACAAGAATTCTTCTTAAATTCAATCTTCTCATTCTGTAATGTTTTTGACTTTAAAATTTATTTAATTACACTGGTTAATTTTCTAAAGCTTACTGTACACTGCTATTAGAGAAGTAATGACTTTGAATGTATAGCATTAATGTCTCAGAATGTGACATTTTTGTAACATAAATGTCTATGACAAATTTATTGAGTCTAATAAAAAATGTAACATTTTGTTAAATTCCCCACTCAAGGTAGCCATCAATTAATAGCTATTATTTAACCAATTACTTGTTGCAGCTTTTACGCCATTCCATTTCTGAAGACAAGTGACTTAAAATACTAATTTAAAAAATCACAATATAAAAATAATACCATAATCAGTAATATCTTGATAGCTAATTACTGTGACACTACAAAAAGGAAAAAAAGGTTGCTTTCCAAAATTATTTATTACAAATAACAATAAAAAAATAATGTTTGAGACTTTTAAAAAATTGATTTCTTCATATAACCCAATGCTTATTAGTGCTGGCTCCCCTTCTTTTTCACAGTTTCTATCGGTTTTGGGGAATCAAAATAACTCTTTTTTTCTTCTTCTTCTTAAATTGGATAACTTAGGTAGACATCAAAAAAGCTAACAAGTTCTCCAAGGTAATTTCTTCTGTGAAACTGAAGCGCAACTCCAAGATGGCTGATAAGGTTTGTTGCATATTTTCTTCTCACCATCCAAAATGCATTACAGTGTCCTATTGAAAATATACTTTGTGTGGTTTATTGCAAGGCAAAAACTTTCTGAGAAAGAAGCAGATTTATGCAGATGTTTCTCTCTCCTCTTGTATCTGGAATATAAAATGAATAATGTCAACAATCTACATTTCAGGTGAACAGACAGATATCTCATGTCCAAAAGCAACACAGAATGAATAGAACATATATCTTGCCTACAATAGGAACCTCCTACTTTGTTTTGAGATTAGTCTGTCCCAAACATTTAAAGTGCACCAGGTTGGAGGAGCTGTGCTGATGTTCCGTTCTGGCATGGATTTGGCGCCTTTTAAAACAATTCTAATCAAAAGAGGGTGAATGGTTTTATGCTTATTTTAGATAAAAAGCCAGTTGATGAACGGGGAGGATATGTTTCAAGAGGAATCCTCTGAGTCTGAGAGGCCTATGTCTAACCTTGAAAAAGTGCAGTTTATCATTGGAAATGCTATCCTGCGTCCTGCCATCAGGTATTACATTTATTGAATAATATCTTTATTTCCAATAGTAAATGCACGGATCCAGATCCAGATGTGCATCTAAAATGGCTTGAGTAAAACTCAGGTTTCCTTCAGGCATTGAAATTGTGCATGTGTACGTTTTGTGCAATAAGGCTATATAAAAAGCTATTCTTCAGAGGTGTTCTGGTATCACTAATTATGTGATTGGTAGCTATAATACTTGTTCCTTGCATGTCTGACATCTTTTTCTGACAGCCTATGGTTTGTTTGTTTTTTCTTTGCAAGAAGCTTGACACAAAGTTTTTTCTATTGCTTTTGAGCTGAATTTCAAGATTTTTAAATATAAAAGCATATTATACTGTTTATATTTGTATCAATTGCATTTTTAAACAAAAGCCATAAAATATTTTAGCTAAACTTACATTTAAGTGAACAATATAATGTGTGAGGTTTAAAATCTCTTACATTTCACCAGAGATCTTCCATTTTTTGTTCCGTCAATTTCGTAACAAGAGTGAAGTTTCACAACTGATCTAGAGGACTCATTGGTTTGATTTGTTTTCCCTTCGTGATAGTCAAAGTAAACATTGTTATAGGTAAAACTGACGTACGGGGCATGAAATAACTCTGAAAACCAAAATGCATTATAAGAAACAGAAAATGAGAGACATATTCATCACTTCATCCACCTTTCCCTTATGACTCTTCAACCATGCATTCATTTTGTTGAGAAAATATTTGGGTTTTTAAAATCTTTTTTTTTCCTTCTATGATTTTCCTTTTTTCCCTTATTATGCAAAATAGGAATGTCATTAAATCCTACATTCCCAAAAGGAGGAAAGGCTAACCTTTTGGCTCTTCATCCCTGCTGCAACCAACAGAGAGCACAGTCCTTTTTTAAAAATGTAATTAAAAGTGATCTCTGGCTAGAAAGGTTTGCTAGCCTTGAGAGGGTGAATTTGAAACATAACAAAATGCCTATTTGTTTTCTATAACAGGGATGAGATTTATTGCCAGATCTGCAAACAACTCACTGAAAACAATAATAAAACTAGTTATCATAGAGGTTGGATCTTGCTGTCCCTCTGCCTTGGTTCTTTCTGCCCTTCGGACCAGTTTGTGAAGGTATTGATTCTGTAGGTGTTTACTCCTAATAAAAGCTACCTCAGTTAGTGGCCGAGGACCATGTGTAGAACAAAGCTTTAACCCAGGGGTGACAAACGTCTTCAGTGTAGGGGCCAGAGGCTATACTATTGCCACCATTCTGGAGTATTTTTTGCATAAGTTGCACAGAGACGGCCAGTGAAGCTATAGCTGAAATGGTTGCCTAGGGAGGTAGCAAACACCCTTTTGGTGCATGTGAGGTAACTATATTTCATTTAGGGGCATGGGCTAGATGAGCGGGCACCTTTGGGGCCCTAGGGACCAGTTCTGTGGAGAAAGGTTTTCCACAGACCAGAGGGCCATGTTTTCACATGTCTGCATCCCATGAATGGGGCTTCGGTTTTTTTGCATGGCCCAGTTTCTAGCTGGTCCACAGGCTGGGGGTTGGGGACTCTTGGGCTAGATAGTTTTGGGTACAGGTTGCTCTTGCCCGTAGTTGCCTAATGCAAAATTAAGTAGCAACGATTCCCTATTCTTTCTGATGTTTCCTTTCTTTTTGTATATCTTGACTTTCTTCCACTCCCAATTCCTGTCTGCTTTCTGTCTTAGTGCTATCCTAAAAAAACATCTTACTGGCAACATTTGGATTTTTATATCATTGTGAAGTTTGTTTTGGTCTTATACACTGAAGGTTGACATTTGCAGTTTTCAGACACAGGCCAAATATTTTCATGTTTGCAGCCTAAAGAATGATTTCATCTTCTACTTTGTCAAGCCTATTCTTAAAGAGTATCAGTATGCTGAAGACATGATATTCAAAGTACAAAAAGTAACATGAATTGACTGTAAACTTTTTCATTATGTTCTACTTTCTGTTATAGAAGATCCTAACAAACGTATGTGATCATATGCTTTCAAATAACTTATTTTACTTCATACTACTGTAGTATCTACTAAATTTCATTCGGGGTGGTCCATTATTGTATGCACCATATTGCTCTGAACGGTTGAGGCGAACTTATATGAATGGAACACGATTTGAACCACCTAGCTGGATGGAGCTGCAGGTAACTTTACCCAAATTACATTACATTTTATCTTCCCTTTTCTTATATCAAAAATTATGGTATGATAGGACATAGGATAGGTAACTCTAATTATCTAATTTAATCTTTTCCAGTCTGATATCCACAAGCTATGTTGGATTAGAATTGCCATTGTCCTCACCAAAATGGGCAATTATTTTGCATCCTTTTTCTGGTGTCTTAGTTTGCTTCCATGCCTGAAGTCACCTAGAGTAGGTTCCATGTTAGCTCTCTTCTTTCACTTCTTATGAGGAATCCAGCTGACATCATTTAGTTAGATTTCTTATGAATTCCATGTTCTCTTTCTTTTAACAGCCTTCATTTGAGACCCATTTGCTGCACTAGCTATTCTAAGTAAGCAAGCAAAAATCAGAACTTTCTTTAAATTGCACAAATACAAGTGTCAACTCATAAAACATTTTGTATACATGTTTTATAGTTGACAACAGAAAGAAGGGGGGGAGTTTCAAAGAGCAGGCAACAGTGTGGAATCGAAAGTACATTCCATTTGTATTTTCTTCAAAGACTGATTAGATGGCTGAAGTTTCTGTTGCGAAAAAATCTAATTGGAGAGCATGATTGATGACTCTTGGCTTTGGATGTTTTTCATTGGATGATACACCCAGAGGGGTGGGGGGGAAGCAGAATCAAGGGTGATAATGAATTACATATTTCAGAGTTGGCTTCGCCCAGGTTAGTGCCAGACATAGAATTTTAACTTCAAATAAATCATCTTTAGTTTTGGGAGTGTGGCTCGAGGCTCATGATTTAATTGGAATAACTGCCAGAATCCTGACAAGAAGTTCATTTTCTGTGAAAAAAATTAATTACTGAATTATTATATTTTTCCCTCAAAATTGAATTTTTGCTATAAAAAGGGTAAGTAAAAAAGCTAGCAATTACCTTTGCCAAAAGCATACAAAATGGCTGTGGGGGAAGATCAGCTATTCAAGAGAGAAAAGATCTTACTAATCTCTTAAGAGAACAGGAAAGAGTTGAAAAGAACAACTATCAAACAGAAAAAGATTAACATTGGAAAGGACTTTAGTGGAGGTAACTTTATGAGTAAACTTCATAAGGGGAACCTGATGATGAGAAAGAACATATCTGGATAATACTATTTACACTTAAACATAGAAAAAAGTACTTGAGAGCAGAGTTTTGTTTTCCAAGCTTGTGGGTTGGTTTCCAAACATTTCATTACCATACTAGATAACATCTTTAGTGAAGTTTAGGGGATGTCAGTGTTAGTGTTCCTCTGTTAATAAGGGCTTCTTGTGGTCAGTAGGTCTTGTGATGGGAATGTCTCATCAGGTGAAGGTCTTGTGATGGGGAGGTCACATCAAGTCAGAGTCATTGTGAGATGAAGTGGGTGATATGGGGGGGTTCCATAGGTTGATTTAGGGTGCTACTGACATGATCCACACCTGACCCATCATAAGACCCTCATTTGATGCAATCTACACTTGACCCATCACAAGATCTTCACTTGATGTGATCTCCTCATCACAAGACCTATTGACCATATGAAGCCCATATAAACAGAGGAATACTGACACCCCTAAACTCTACTGAAGATGTTACCTAGCTTGGTAACAAAACATTCAGAAACCAACCCACAAGCTCACAGAATGAATCTTCACTCTCATCCTACACCCAAGCTACAGATTTTTGCCACCTTTTTAGTGTGAAGGCACTAAAAGGCATGAAAAAGTTAAATAATGATTAATATATTCTAATAGTTTCACAAAGCCTTCCTGAACTAGATGTCGATCAGTTATATACACTATTTTGTAAAAGTTGAGATTCAATCTTCTTCATTTGTGGAATAGACTTCTATTTCTTAGTACTTTTATTTTTTAGGCAACCAAGAGTAAGAAGCCAATTACACTTAGTGTAATCATGATGAATGGCAACAGTACCAAAGTGTTTGCAGATTCAGCCTCCACTGCAAAGGAGATCTGCCAACTGGTAGCTGATCAAATGAACTTGAAAGACACATTTGGCTTCTCTCTCTACATTGCTTTGTATGATAAGGTAAAATGAAATTATGTGTCATGCCAATTTAAATGCTCTGGAAATGCACACTTTTAAAAATACTTTATGTTATTTTTTTATCCCAGGGTGGGAACATTACTTTATAAAACACTTTCCAGGGTGGTTTGAACTTTTCTTTTGCTGCCAGTCCAGGGCTCTAGATGAAAAAATGCAGTTTCCATCTCTTCCCAGATTTCACCAGATGTTTACCCTTTTCTCACATAAATAGCACTAAGAGGTTTGATAACTTAAGGAAATTCACATAATCAGAATTGGCAGTTTGCTTTTTTAATTGGTGCAGCCAGAGGATTTTTCCCATGTATTTTTCTATTTAATCTGGTCATATGAATGTCATTGTGTGAAAACAAAATAACCCTCATGAGACAAAGGACTTTGTATTCTGCTCATATATGTCATATATATATGACCATGTATTTAATGTTCATTTTAATCAGTCTACATAAGTAAGTCATTATTTGCACACTCAATCTGAGTAAACTTTTTTTTTTCAATTTCCTCAATATTTACATAGAGACCCCTTTGGAGTTGAGGTTGTAAGTATTGTTGGAATTGCTTATTTAATAGATGGGCATAGACTGACAGAGTAAAAAAATTAATAAGATAGATAGACAATATTTGAAGCAAAGCAACACCAGTATAATGTCGGTAATAAAACTTGACAGAAAAAGTAAAAAGTAGAGGTGTAGGAAGTCAGTTGGCAAAAGGCAGTTAACAACTGTGAATGTAATTGGATAAAGAAGCAAAACAAAAACAGAAACAAAATATTGGACTTACCTAGTTGTAGAATAAAGCCATTGATGCCTAAAGACCACAACTATGGTTAAGAATTCTGTGGCCTTCTTAAATATTTCAGGACATGGATCTTATCTCAGCTGATTTATAATCACTTACTATGTTAGCTGAGAAAGCTTACTACTAAGTACCTCAATCAGATCAAGGCACCATCTGTGATATAGGGAGTGTACTGGTAATCCGTGTGCCACAAACTGAACCTCACAAAAGTGTCTCTAATAAGGAATGTATGGTACTTACCTGTACTAGTCATTGAAGACAGGTGTCAAATAATGCTGAAGTAAATGCCTTTAGATAGAGTGTGAAGGATGTGATGAAATTATTTCAGGATGAGAAAAGGAACATCCAAAAATTTGCAATAGTGAAAATGTCATTTTTTCCCTATCTTTTGAGATACCTTAGTCCAAGATTCTCTGCCTGAGTCTTCCAAGGCTTTATCTTCCCCCTCAGAGTATACAGCTAAGGGGGATCGGCCACAATCTATTTGCTTTTTCAAGGAGGAGATGTAACTATCCCAAAGTATAAGTGAGTTCCAAGGACTCACCCCAGAATGTTCCTTTTAGCCAGAATTTAAGTCAGCAGAGTTTAGGTTGGCCTCAAGATAAATACAATCAAGTTTCAGTTGACATTCTTGGAATTTAAAAAACTGAGTTATGAAATGAATGTTAATGCAATTTACACATGCCAGGAAATTTATATATAGCCTTACAATATTTATAGTCTTTTTATAACTTCAAAATATATATATAATTTATTTGTTAGATTGTTTTTTTAACCTGTTGCAGTCCGATATCATTTTGATGGCATTTTTTTTTCTTTGTTTACACAGACATACATAGAAATATTAATATAATGTAATTTCCCAATTTGTGTCAATTCAGAGACTGTTTCATCCTGCCCTACAAATAATGTGGAAGAACGTACTGTATAATGAGACGATCTCTTCCATCCTATTTATTCACACAATGCTATTAATTCTTTATAACTTTTGTGCAATTTTCATTCAGTTGTTATTATATTAAATTTTTCAAGGCAATTTGTACTTCTTTAACTGAGCAGACATTTTCTCCCTTATCAATGACCTTAGGTCTGGTCACTGGGCGGTGGACGGGATCACATCATGGATGCCATTTCTCAGTGTGAACAACAGGAAAAAGAGAAGGGCGGTCACGTACAGTATACTCCTTGGCGTCTCTATTTTAGAAAAGAGATCTTTACCCCCTGGCACAACTCCAAAGAAGATCCCATCAGCACTGAACTCATTTATTATCAGATAATACGTGGCATCCGGTTTGGAGAATACTGCTGTGAAAAGGTAGATATTTTTTGGGGTACTGTGGTTATGAGGTCCAAGCCACCTGGAGAAAAAAAAAAAGACTTTTTAAGGGCATATCTCTGCCAAGAATTATTTATCATTCTAAATCCATTGCTTTATGTACTATTTGTTTGTTTGTAAAATGTATTGGCTGTCCATTTTACTACAGAGTAAGTCTAGGCAGCTTACAATCTTATAAAGATACAAACTATCCCAAACCTAAAAGACATAAATAAAATGCTGTAAAGATCCAATTATTGAGCACAGTTAAAAGATGGGGAGGGAGGGAGTAGGGTGAGAAGGGGGTGGTGGTAGGATCTGTTATTAATCTGTCAACCACCTTTCATGTGAAACTCCTCCATTGAGTCCCAAGTCAGCTGCAGAACCAGGTCTTATAAGTCCTTGTGACAGGTCAGGAGGCCTGGAGCCAATCTCACAGGAGGGGGAGGGGTAAAATATTCCAAAAGGCAGACACAAAAGTAGAGAAGACTCTCCTCCTGGACACAGCCAGCTGAATTTCCTGGCCAATAGGGCCCACAATGCCTCCTTTTCCGGTATTCAATCCCAGTGGGATGAGAAGATCCCTCAAGCATCCTGGTCCCATGCCGTAAAGGGCTTTTTAAATTTTAAGCTTATTTCTTTTGGAAATACATTAATATATCATTTGTTTGGTCTAGCTAATGAGGCCTAGACAATGAAGGTGGATTAAGAACTCTTCCTGAAAACTGACTAATCTGATTAATTATGATAGGAGGAGGACTTGGTGGAAATTGGAGCCAAATACTGTTATATCAAGTTTGGAGAGTCCATCCAAAATGAGTTGGTTCAAAGTATTCTTCAAGAATGTATCCCGGCAAAGCTACTAAAATCCAAATCCCAAGAGAAGTGGGTGAATCTCATCACATATGCTCACGCTAAGGTATGAACATTCAAGTGATGTAGGGTTTGACATTAATATTAGCTTCTATTTCTATTGCAGCTCTGAAGTCAAGGGTGAATGGAATGCCTAAATTCATTTCCATTGTAATTTTTTATCTGTAACTTGCTGATTAAACAATAAATATGTGAAGATTGTTGGAGGTACTTTAGGGCCTTTGTGCAATGTACTGTATTCAAGAAATATACCCATTGAACTGCAATATATTTCTTGTATGTTGTAGGCAGCTTACACACAGGACCAGATTTCCCCTCAATGTGTAAAGGAGCAGCTGGTAGACTTTGCCCGTGATCACTGGCCTCTGCTCTTTTCTAGATTCTTTGAAGTTACTAAATTTTCAGGTACTGTGATGGTGACATACTTTGTGTAGAAGGAAGTATAGTGAGAAGTAGAAAAAGTCTAAGATTTATATTGTGTTTGCAGGGCCCAGTCTGCCAAAGAAACATTTCATTGTGGCAATTAATTGGAAAGGTGTATGTTTCCTAGATGACACTGAAAGAAGACTGCTAGACTTGTCTTTTCCAGAGATTATTGGCATCCATACCAACAGGTACTGTTGTTGGACATACTTGACTGGAAAGAGCTGTTTGTCAATATTTAGGACAAATGATGTTCAGCTGCTATTATATCATTGTTCATATTTGATTCTTCTGTTATTGTGTCATAAGAACTGAAAGAGTTTCCATGTTGTTTGATTTGCATAGCTTTTTCTCCCTAAGGAATAAACCTAATGAGTTTGTTTACTCAAAAAATATTTTTCTAGCCCTAAAATGTTCTCCAGGTTGAGAATCTAATGCAATATAATTCATCTCTGTAAAGAGAGACGAAGATTGAATTAACTAAAGTAATTCTATTTCAGCTTCTCGGAGCATTACAATCACTTTGATTATACAAGTGTATGCTTTGTTCACAGGATTTTACACAGTATCTGGATTTCCATTTTTGGCCTTTCTGAATTTCCATTTATAACTTCCTGCATTTACATACCGTATTATTTTTTTCCTGTACAAAAATATCTACAAAGAAGGAAAAGCCACAGAATATTTTTTGTTAGGACTAATGGTTGTCAATTTGGGACACTCTATATTTAGATTTAGAAATGTTTACTCCTTGCTTATGTTAGATGTTGAAGGATACCAGACTATTGTTTTCTTGCCATTTTAAAATTATTTTTAAAAAAATACTTTGTGACTACAGGGGAGTCAAGACATTTGGGCAAAGCTGCACTCTTAGCACACTGCGGGGTGAAGAGTTTGTCTTGACATCTGTCAATAGTGTTGCAATTGCAGAATTAATGGTTATGTTCCTGGAAGGACTGAAAAAGCGATCACTTTATGCGGTGGCAATAGAAGACAAAAAACCTCAAGGTAACTTAGATATACTTTATTTATTTAATCTATAGCCTGGAGAAGAAAAAATTCAACTGTTGAATGTCTGTTATGTCTGTAAGACATAACAATTAACAATATTTATTTTAAAAATAATAAAAGACAATACAAGTTAAACTCAAAAAGAAAAAGAATAGAAAGTGCAAGAGAAAAGAAAAAAAGGAAGAAAGATGAAAAGAAAGTAACATGTGCAATATGTGGTTCCATTCTGATGCCATTATCCACTGGGCCAAATAATATAAGGTAGGCAGAGTAATGTGATGCAAAAACAGCTACAGATGGATCAGATCCTTATCATAATCTATCTTTTGAAAGAGTTTGCTTATACATTGTTTTTACACTTTTTTCTCAAGAAACAAGATTGGCGAGAAAAGATTGGGTTTGGGCTCTTTCTCCCAGTTTCTGCCAATTGATATTGTTCTCTTATTCAATTTCTACTTAGGCTCCTTTCAGTTTCTTTCTTCATGAGGAACTTGCTTGTTATCTGTTGTAATGATGAGGCAGTCGAGTTGTTTGATCATGAACAACTGAATCATGATGATCTTTATTGGAGTCTATTCTTCCATTTATACACATTTTTAGTTATCCTCCATCACTGGTTAACTTTGGTTGCTGCTTAACTTTCGTTACTGTTTAGCAAAGTAATTAATTATCTCTAGTTAAAGTCTAACATATGTTTACTTCCTCTCTGTAATCCTCCTTTAGATTAGTGACTTTGTTTACCTGAGTTGTATTTGCTTGGAAACATTCTTTATCTGAGGTTTGCCATCCGAGATTGGAACATTCCTGCAATTACAACTCTACAGTTATCTTTGTGTAATTTGAATTTCCTTGTGGTGGTACACTATCAATTGCAGAGAAAAGTTCATGAGGCTATTTCTTTTCCTAGTAGTGCTAGTAAAAAAATGTAATGTAGTCTTTTTCTACATAGCAGACATTTTTTGGAAATGAAGAAAGATGAAGAGTGGTAGAAAACATTGATGATATTAACCATGTTATAAGCACTTATGACATAACCTGTAGTATCTATGCTTACACAAAATAGAGACAATGGTGTTTTGTCATTGTCAGAAAGATGACACATGCTTCAATCAGAAACATCATGATACATTTTTAGATCTATTGTATATAGCTGAAATAATATGCTTCAGTTTTTGTTTTCCAGGTGACACTACCATTTTGGCCTTCAGGAAGGGGGACTTGTTGATTTTAATCCAGGACAAAAGACTAGGAGAAAATCAAGGCTGGATTTCTGCTCAAAATGAGCGAACCAATGGTTCTGGGCTTGTGTCATTAGAGACCATCTATATCATCCCTACAGTTACAAAGCCTTCCAGTCAAATATTGGTAAGGGTCGAATAATGAAGGTGCAATGCTTAACTCTGACAAATCACTGCCATGTTATCCTCCGAATAATAAAGATAGTAAACTAATAGTGGAAAAAAGAAGAGCTATCGGGCACTCTTATAAAATGGCTCTTTGTCAATCTTTAAGATGCTCTTTACCACTCCAGTTTCTGTTTCTTTCTAGCCAGATGGCAAACAAGGCATACTACTTCAGCCTTTAGCTAGGTTTAGTTTGTAAGAATACCTAAGCCAAATTCCCATTTCATTTTTTCATTACAATAATTTCCTTTTTAAAAAGTCACACTGAACAGTCTTTTTCATTGCAGTAAGGGAGAGGTATCTTAGGCTGTCCTGATGCCCAGTCACCAGATTAAAAGTGATTACTGTTTAGAACAGGGGTCCCCAAACTTGGCAACTTTAAGACTTGTGGACTTCAATTCCCAGAATTCCTCAGCCAGCTCTGGGAGTTGAAGTTCACACGTCTTAAGGTTGTCAAGTTTGGAGACCTCTGATTTAGAAGCTGTGCTGTTCCTTCTAATAATGTTTGTCTAATACCTTTGGGTAGCCTGATTGAGGCTTTCCAACAAGCATAGAAATCATTCCTAAACTTCTTCTCTGCATCTTTTCAAATCTGATGACTTGGAAACAGTCTTCTAATGATTTAAGAGATTAATCCAAGTAATAATATTATCCCTTTCTTTTCAGTACATGGAATATCAATCTTTTTAGGGCTTGATAATCTTTGGTCCCCAAATCTTTGTACAGTTTCAGCTGTTCTTTCTAGCTGCTAGTTTACATGTTAGGATATTGATCTATTGCAGTGTTTTCTCTAACAGCAGATTTACTATCCTATTGGAATTTTCCTTTTAACTTGGGACCTCACAATACTGTATTTCACTGTGGATACTCAGAATTTATATATGCAGACAGATTCCCCCCTTTTTAAGTTCTTTGATCTTAAAAGTTAACTTTGCCCTTGTACTAATTTTCCTGCATGACTTTATTTAACAGCATAATCAAGCCTGCACAAAAAATTACTGTAATTCATAGGTAACTAATATAATGAGTTATACATGTGATTATTCTTGTATGATTGTTATCAGACTCTATGTGAGATAAAAAATATTGTCTGTTGCCCTAAATATATAGATATAAAGTAATTAATTGCTAAATTTCAAAATGTGTTCTTTTGGTCTTGTTGAAGTACAAGCACTAGTGCCTTTAAGAATCTTTTTGGAATGAATCCTCTAACATTAGAAAAATGCTGATGTGCTTCTTTCCTTCTCTTTTTCTGTCAAACATCTTTGAGCGATATGGTAGAAAGAGAAGTCCTACTCACAAATATTTTCCCCAAAACCCATACATGGACTTAATTTTGTTAGTTTTTATTGTTTTTTATTTTTTGTTTTAAATATGGTTTTACATTGTGTAAGCCACCTCAAGTTGCCATGGGCGAATAGGCAGCAATATAAATTGAATAAATAAATAAATAATTTCTAATATTATGTTGCTGCCATGACAATAAGTGAAATGTCTTCAAATAGCCATATCTTTCCAGAGCTTGCTGATGATGTCACCTGAACAACGGAAGTTACTATCGCTAAACTCTCATGTGGAAGAACCCGAAGAAGAGAATGAAAATGTGAAGCCATATACACTGGAAGAATTCTCCTATGAGCACTTCAGGTATACTTTATTGTGTTTTATACAATTGTTTACATTTCCTTGAAAAATATGTGTGTGTGTCGCCTTTTAAGTCTAATTGAGGAAGAAACAATGAGTATTGCACAAATACTGTATTAGTTATTAAATTCTATTTTGTCTTCCATACTGGTCCTCAAAAAGGATATCTGGTTCATGTGTGATTGTTGTGTGTGAAGGACATCATTAAAATAAATTGTTATACCGAAAAAATAGCGTGAACTAGACAAAGAGCTTTCCTGCATAGCAATACTAAAGTGCTATCTTAAAGTTTGCTTTCATAAATACTGGTTGCACTAAGAAATAGCTACAAGTGCTACAAGGGAATAAGTGCTACAAGGGAATATTAGCATTAAATAATCACAGTGTCCAAAATGGATTAGAGGGAGCAAAATGGTGCTGTTTCACTGCATTTACAGGGAATATTCCTCTGTAAAACATACAAGCTGGATTGGGACAACTCACCGCCCTCACCTTGCTGTCGCCACCTTGCTGTCGCCACCTTAGCACCATGTTGGGTATATTGAAGAGGGAGACAGATCCTCTATTATCTTCAACTCCCATTCATTACAACCATGTCTATAAATTAGAAAGACTGATCTGTAGTTCAGTCCCATGTTGCTCTCTGGGTCTTTCATCCAGACCATCTCAATACATATAGTTCCTTGATTTCAAAGTTCCTTAAATTCCAATAGGATGGCACATTTTCTGGATCCTAGTTCAAACTTTCAAGTGTCTTCCCCCACTCCTAAAGATCTCTTTTGCAAGAAGGAATTGCCATTTGACAACATGGTGCATATCCATGTTAACTTTTTAACTTGCTTGATTCTTTCTGATAGATGTTAACAGAGAGGTTTTAGGTTTTAGAGGTTTTAGATATATGAAAATGTCTTTGTCCTTTTGTTACTTTATGAATTAATTCTAATTCTGTGTGGTAAGTGGTGGTAGGGCTAGAGAATCTTAGGGAAGATCCAGATTCTAACTATATTAGCCTGTAGGCAACAGATATGAGTCATTTGTCTGTATTGATCAGACTATGGCTTGAATCAGTTTTATGTTTCTTCAGAGTACCTGAGAAGGAGTCAATCAGCAAGGCTGTTTTACCCAAGTCCCGAGGGCGGAGTCATCTGTGGAGTCATTCTAGGGAACCCCTGAAAAAGCCTTTGCTAAAGAAAGTGTGTTCTAATCCAGACCTCTGGGACTTTGCTTGCCAGACCTTCAATGATATCCTTCGTGCTAAAGTCAGTTTATTTGGTAATGGGTAGAATATAATTGTTTCTACACTTCTGTCTCTGACTTGGAAATATTTTTAATAAAAAGTGAACAAACACATAGGTATTGATAAATCCCTGTACATTTTTGTTAATTGTTTGACATGGTTTAATTTATTTGAGTGCAGAAAATTGAGAAGAGGATGAAGAGTGGATCCAGATTTTAAGTGACCCAATTGGATAATCCAGAAAAAAAATACATTAATGGTGATTGCCAGAGCAAACAAATGGTGATTGCTAGAGCAAACAAAATTATTATGCTAAGACAATTTGAGAAAAACAAAAAGTTTTGGACAACAAAATGAGTTAGTTAAGATAGCTATGTAAGAGAGCACTATGTTAATTGTCAGATCTAGCTTCTAGTAAAGAGCATTCACTAAGTAGTTACTTGCTGCATCCAGAAGGAGTTTTGACTTGGTTTGTAGTTTGTACTAATTTTTTGGTTAAATCTTTCCTTATATTTTTTTGCTCACCCATTATGAAATACATGGGAGATTATCCCTCAAAGCAAGAGAGGTCTCCTGTGGAACTTACTGACCAGATATTTTTAGTGGCAATCCAGGAGGAAACTTTGCAAGATGAGATCTACTGTCAGATCTTGAAACAGTTAACAGAAAACCACAACAGGTAACGAAAAAGTATTTCCAACTAAATGTTTCAAATTGATGTGACCATTTTGGCTGAAGTGCAAATTGGAGTATTAGACTGGGAGTTTTCTCAATAGGATAGATTTTATATCAGTGGTTGCAACAAGAAAAATTACTAGCATCCCTGTAACGAAAGCACAAATAAAAAATCGCTCCAAGTTACCTGATAGATTTCTAAGTTTGAAGAATTTTTGGTTTTGGTTATGGATATTTGTATGCAAATTTTGAAATTATTCATCAAATTGGCAGGTATAGCCTGAATAGTGGTTGGCAGTTACTCTGGCTCTGTACAGGCCTTTTTCCACCTAGTAAATCATTGCTGAAACATGTTCAGAAGTTCATTGAGACTCGTCTGAAGGAGAATCTGGCATTGGAATGCAGACATAGGATCCAAAAAGTGATGAGGTACAAGGTTGTTTTTAATTCTCTGGGATTGGCTTATGCTTTTTATTCTTTAAGCAATTACAGAATGCTAATCAGTTCTATAGAATATCTATAATATATAAACTAATCTAAAATCATTATGAAGAAGATAATCTTCTTTCCTGAAGAGAGATTAATTTAGTCTCCTCATCCTTTAGTGGTTTTGTTTTTCATTAAGGTCTTCTTGTGAATGCAATTTGTTTTCTCTCCCTTCACACTCTGGTGCAAAATATATATTTTATTGCATATATGGGTAGAAACTGTGTTTATGTTTTTTAAAAAACCTTCAGCTCTACCTCCACCTTAACTGCCTTTCCTGTGAAACTGGTGAAAATTGACCCTCTAGTGCTAAGAACTTCCCCATCAAAGGTAGTTCTAAGAGCCATTTGTATTTTTGTTCTTCAGGAGTGGCTGTCGGAAGTGGGCTCCACACAGTGTAGAAGTGGAGGCAATTCAGAATAATATCACCAAGATTTCTCACAAAGTTCATTTTCCAAATGAAAAAGAGCAGGTGAGGTTAAGTTCTTTTATTTTCCTACTGATATATATTCCAGGTTTAAGAGGACACTTCTTTAGGGCCAGTCATCTCTCTCATCCCAACCTACTTCAAAGGTTTGTCATTATGGATGAAAGGATGGGAGTAGGAGCAGGGATGGGATTCTACCAGTTTGCACCTATTATCTAGAACTGGTTAACATTCTAAGCAGTTTGGAGAAACGGTTGTTAGAAGAAATTACTGGCCTAATCCTGTAAGGAAGGCAGGAAGGAAACATTCTGGTGTTGCTTACAGAAACTGCCTCTCCGTTAACCCTTATTACATTCTTGGCAGGACTAGACTTCCTGTCTCAGAAACGTCTCTGGAGTTTTTCCCCTCTCCTTTGCTGGTACTAGTGACCATTGAAAAAAGTGACTTATGACCATGTTTCACACTTACGACTGTTGCAGCATCCTGCAGTCACGAGAGGCCAGGCGAGGAGATGCGTGCCTTGATGTGAGTGATATTGAGTTGGCCGCACCCAGCCAGTAACATGACCACCAAGCCATGTCCACCCAGTCACATGACCACCATGCCACACCCACCAACTAAGCCACGCCCACAGAACCAGTTGTTAAAAAATTTGAATCCCATCCCTGAGTAGGAGGCAGGAGTAAAGTATTATTGCCCTCTTGAGTTATATATAAAAAGGTGGGATAAAATTTTCATCATCATCTGTGGAATGAGCGGGGAAGAGAGAAAAATAAAAAATCAGCTTGGAAGAAGTGACTATTGAGAGAAATTGTTATGGTGAATCAGAGGTAATAGAGTTGCCTTGAGGTAAGATGGGCAACCTATAAACTCACTCACTCTCTCTCTTTTCCTTCTTTTCTTTTTCTTTCTTTTCTCTCTCTCTCTCTCTCTCTCTCTCTCTCTCTCTCTCTCTCTCTCCCTCCCTCCCTCCCTCCCTCCCTCCCTCCCTCCCTCCCTCTCCTATCTAGGCACACCTGAGAAAATAATAAGGGGTCATAATGGTAATAAACATCTTCTGTTGCTTTTTTCAGAATCTGATAATCACATTGTGTTCTTAAATATATTTTGCTTCATTTTCCAGTTACAAACAGCCAAGCAGGCAGGTAGCTTACTTTTAGCAGTCTATACACCTGTGAAAGTGACACCTATTATTTTTTCTTCCAGACTAGTCATTTTAGCTTCTTGTTCTTATGTTCCAGGTTTTTGATGTAGGAACAAACACAAAAGTATGGGATCTATGTCAGATGATTGGCAACAAGATGGAATTGAGCTCCTTGGATGGATTTAGCCTCTTTATCAAGATTTCAGATAAGGTAATTTGACATGAGTATATCAGTTCCATTTGATGAAGAAATTTGGAGAATTAGAAAGTTTTCGTGGCTCTAAAAATATTTTTGCTTCTTATTCCTCAAATATCCAAATGACTTTTTATCATCTTATTCTGTGTGAGCTCCACTGTGCAACATTTCCATCACTGCTCTGCAGTTTTAGTTTAATTTCTGTTCTTTATTTTTATTCGGAGTTATATTCTAGGGGATTGTTGTTGATGTTGATGTTATTATTTTAATTCAGTGACTTTTATTTGCCACTCAGTCCAACAACTTTTAGCTTTAGATAATTTAGAAAAATATATCATAAACAACATTCAGCGTATCAAGTCCATGAAGATAAGCAAGTTACATTAATCTCTTCGTTAACAGTTACATTTTAATCTCCCACATACATTGAAACTGAAAAGAGGCCACCTACAACTTTTATAATGATTGCTTTATACATGTGTTGTTTATGTGATTGTTGTTCACTTCTCATAGTAGCTTTTCCTGAGATGGGTGGCTATCCATATTTGATAAATAAATAAATAAATAAATACATGCATACATACAGCTTCAATTCATTAATTCCCTATGTTTGGCTTCAGTATAGAAAAAGTAGAGTTAGTTGCTGCTCTTAAATGGGGACCTAGAAAAATTACCCAGTTAATGGTGTAAGAACAGAAACAGACTGCTTGTGTGGGGAAATGATCCTGATATAAGAAAGCATTTTTAATTGTGCCAGAAAGGCAGCTTCTTATGCTGGCTTTTTTCTGGAATCTTGTCTCAGAGCACTGATAAATACAACTTTTTGTAGTAATTCAGCTTCCTTTTATTGTCTATTCTAGGTGATCAGCCAGAATGAAGCAGATTACTTCTTTGACTCCTTAAGGCAGGTGACAGACTGGACTCGGAAGAACAGGCCAGGAAAAGAGGGTATGGAGATGGAAAGATGAAATATGGGATGTTGACATTAACCTAGAAACTGCCTGTGCCTTTATCAGATGGAAATAATCCATCTGAGAGTTCAGAACATAACCATTTTTCATAAGATTGGTCAACACTCTCAATTATTGAAAATGAAATAGGCAATACATTTGATAAATAAAAAAATAAAAATAAACTTTGCTCTGCATATCTATAAAGCAGTGGCTTATAATTCTTGTTATAAAAAAGTTCCTAAAATAGTAGGGAGTAACTCCATCTATATCAGAAGTCTTCAAACTTGGCAAGTTTAAGTCTTGTGGACTTCAACTCCCAGAATTCCTCTCAGGAATTCTGGGAGTTGAAGTCCACAAGTCTTAAACTTGCCAAGTTTGAAGACCCTTGATCTATATACTACTAAAGCTTTTGTTTCTTTAACTAGGCGAATCAGTGCATCATAAAGCAGCAATTTTTGAACCAAAGTACCTCAAATGGGTTAACTTATAGACTGTGTTTGATCAATTGTATTAAACATTTTATGACATAAAAATAATCATAAAACAGTTTATGAAATGATGCAAATATCATAAAGCTTTTCCTGTGCTAATTTTTGACTGTGCTATATAGTTCAACATGGACTATTTTCAAGCACATACATGTCTTGAGTGTATCTCAACTTTTCTAGTGAAGGCAATACATTAGGAGTTCCATCATTGTTGAAAGCATTTAGAAATCTGATAAGGAAATATATCTAAAAGAATGACCCAATGGGTCATGGATTATTTAGTACTATTTTAGCTCATGGACTACTAAATTAATTCAAATTGCCACGATGCAGCATGGCAGTTTGAATGAATCCCTGCAGACAACGAAAACTGCCTGTTTGAATAATAAAAGATTTACTACTTGCAAGCTATAGCCACCAAAAATATATCTAATCTCTTTTGAAAAAAGCTGAGAATTATGATTCTCCCTTATAACAGCTGCTTCTTTTAAAATTATTAGGTTCCAATTGAAAAGCAGCAAAACTCCAATTCAATTCCTCTCCCCCTTTTTTTACTTTTTATAAAAATTAATATTTACAGTGTATGTTTTGCATGTCTATTTAGAAATTAGCTACTTTGTCTAACATGGCTTTCTTTCAGGTAAATGTGCATAGGATTCACTGAAGGATATATAAGTCCTTTATGGCTTCTAGTCATAATAGCTATAGTTTCATTCTAGTATCAGAGAGAGTAACCTGATTAGAGGGTGTGTTACATGTTACTTGTGGGGTTTCCAAGTCACCCCAAACCAAGTATATTGGAATAGATAAGCTTGGCTCAATACATCAAGCCGTTGCTTTGACTGTATTCACAATAGATAAACAGCAAAGAGCTGGATGGCAGCTAATCAGTAAAGGGATACATAAAACTGGGAAGTGAGGAGAGACACTTTTTGGACCTAGCTTTATTAAAGGTGATTTGCAGTATCTTTGATATTTTTGTATAATACAAACCACAAACAAAAAAGATAAAAATGAAATTTTCCTAACCTCAAGCTTCTTTCTACAGATTTCTGCAGACTTTGAGTTAACTATTGTAACAGTTGCTATTACAAGTCAAGCAGGCAGTGAGGCAATCATTTTCTGTCATTTCTTTAGTTATTTAACTATTAAATTGGGGCAACCCTTTCCCATGCGTTTCTTCATTTTGTAGCTGTTAAATTGATAGAGGATGCATTTTTGTGATAAGGAAAAATCACTCTAAAATAATTTAAAACTGTATCAAGAGACATCACGTGTATGTTTATTTATTTATTTTATTTATTTGATTTGTCAATTGTTTACAAGGTAATAGATATAAGTATAAACATGAATAAGACTACAGGAAATAGGTACAAATAAATGGGGACAAAAGGACAGGGACGGTAGGCACGATTGTGTACTTGTGCACGCCCCTTACAGACTTCTTAGGAATGGGGTGAGGTCAATAGTGGATAGTTTGAGGTTAAAGGAGTGGGGGTTAGAGGATGTAACAACAGAGTCAGGTATTCCAGGCATTGACCACTCTGTTGCTGAAGTCATACTTTCTGCAATCGAGTTTGAAGTGGTTTACATTGAGTTTGTATCTGTTGTGTGCTCTTGCATTGTTGTGGTTAAAGCTGAAGTAGTCATTGACTGTTAGGACAATGTAGCAGATACTTTTGTGTGCTACGCTTAAGTCTAACCATAGGCAGCGTAGTTCAAGGTTGTCCAAGCCCAAAATCTCAAGCAAGGTGATATAGGGTATTCTGTTGTGAGCAGAGGATTGTAATACTCTTCTCGTGAAATACTTCTAGATTCCCTCGATTGTATTAATATGCAGTGTGGGTTCCAGACTGATGAGCTGTATTCGAGTATTGGTCTGGCAAAAGTTTCATATGCTCTAGTTAGTAATTCGATATTTCCGGAGGAGAAGCTTCGTAAGATTAGATTTACAACTCATAATGCCTTTTTGCAATGCTGTTACAGTGAGCTCTGGCGCTTAGGTCATTTGATATGAGAACTCCAAGGTCCTTGACAGACTTCAGAGTGAGTTCAGAGTGAGTTCCGTCAACTTTCTCCCCACTGCAACTCTCATAAGGCTGAGAATGCTAATGCTATTGGCTGAACATTTTGGTGGAATAGTGGACAATCTCAACCCATGGCTAGCAAGAAGGGCTGTTCTGCATTGCTCATCTCTTCTTGAAAAAAATGTATTGAAGTAGATATTTATGCAGAAACATGGATTTATTACATATTTATCACCTAAAGTATAATTGAACTGATAAATAATAACTTTCCCCCAGCTGCTAGAAACTTTTTTCCCCTCATGCTCTGGTTCACTGTAGTTTATATCTATGTGTTTAAGAATATCAGAAGTAGAGGTAAGAATTTTAAGTTGTACATGCCTCTTTGAAGTGTTCTACTTAAATGTCTGACGTTACTTTTCTAGCGTTTCCCACCACTATGAATTATCAAGTATATTTCATGAGAAAGTTGTGGTTGAATGTGATACCTGGGAAGGATTTGAAGGCTGATTGCATCTTTCATTATCATCAGGTAAACAGGATTGATGATAGCAATTAGCTGATCTATTATCTTAATGTTTGCATCAAAGCTTGGTTTGTTATAATATATACATTTCACAGCATATATGAAATACTGGTTATACAATATAATTGATGACAATGAAATAAACCCCTTGGATGTATAGGAAACTAATTAAATTAAAATATCACAGTTTTCCCCATGATAGCTGAACAAAAATGGGGAAAAAAAGCATTTTTATACCTAACACTGCAAAGTAATTTAAATAACGTTTTGAAACCAAGCCTTCAGAACGTGTCTAAACCAGATATTTTCTACTTCTACCTTGATGTTTAGTGCAAAACAAAAAGCTTTCAAAAGAAAATCTAAAATAAAGTCTAGAGGGTACAAGACAGCAAATATTTTCATGTTTTCATTCATGCACACATCATTTTGAATATGCAGATAATTTCAGTCAATGCTAACCTCTTTTGTGTGTGTGTGTGTGTATGTCTGTGAGTACGCAGGGGTGCGATTCTACCAGTTCACAGCTATTCGCTAGAACCGATTGTTAACATTCTGAGCAGTTTGGAGAACCGGTTGTTAGAAGAAATGACTGGCCTAATCCTGTAAGGAAGGCAGGAAGGAAACATTCTGGTGTTGCTTACAGAAACTGCCTCTCTGTTAACCCTTATTACATTCTTGGCAGGACTAGACTTCCTGTCTCAAAAACGTCTCTGGAGTTTTCCCCTGCTCCTTTGTTGGTACTTTGCTTGTGTGGAGTGACCATTCAAAGTTACAATGGCACTGAAAAAATTGACTTATGACCATTTTTCACACTTACAACTGTTGCAGCATCCCCAGTCATGAGAGGCCAGGTGAGGAGATGCGTGCCTCGATGTGAGTGATATTGAGTTGGCCACACCCAGCCAATAACATGACCACCAAGCCACACCCATCACCTAAGCCACACCCACAGAACCAGTTGTTAAAAATTTGAATCCCACCCCTGTGTGTACGTGTACATTTTAGACAAACTACAAAATGGGCCAATGTACTGATGGTCTTTGTTTCAGGAACTGCCAAAGTATCTGCGAGGCTATCACAAGTGCTCAAAAGAGGATGCCATTCAACTGGCTGGGCTGATTTTCAGAGTTCGTTTCAACAGTGATCAAACACAATATGCTGCAATTCCTAAAATACTGAAGGAACTAGTGCCTGAGAACATGATTCCAATACTATCCCCAGAGGAGTGGAAACGGGTATAAAGAATCTTACATTATTTTAGTATTATATATTATTTAAAACTTGCATTGGACTTCCTCTATTGATCAGCGTTATAAAGCTACTGATTTATTTCCCATTATTTATTTTCCATAATTTATATGCCACCCCAATTATAGATTCTGTGTGATTTTTGTGTAATTATGGGCACAAGGAAAGGCTACTTTCTCCCTTCCCAAGAAAATAATTCTAATGGTAAAAAAACCTGATTAGTTTTGACTCATGTTGCATTACAGAATATTATTTCTGCTGTCAACAAACTTGGACAAAAAAGTGTGGATGAGGCCAAAGTCGCCTTCTTGAAGTTCATATATCGTTGGCCAACATTTGGCTCAGCCTTCTTTGAAGTGAAGGTCAGTTCAATGGTTCTAGGGATTTTTTTTGGGGGTGGGGGGAGGAGTGCCACCATATGAAGTTGTTTCCTGCCTAAAAGAAATCTCTTACTGATTGTTCACTTTTGTAAATTCTATGAATACTCATTCTCATGGCCTTAACCAATTTCAGTTGCCTCCCCAAGAGCAGCTTTTCACCTACACCTATTTCTGAAGTTATTTGTTCCATAGCTCTGGTGATTCCAGTACTTAATAACAGAATGACAATTAATGTTACGCTATGAAAAAACAGCCCTGTGATCCCATTCTGCCTTCTTCTATTTTACTAGCAAACATCAGAGCCAACTTTTCCTGACATAGTACTGATTGCTATCAACAAGCAAGGAATTTCCATAATACATTCAAAGACCAAGGTAAGATGTTTTTTTTAAAAAAATCTGGCTTAATTATAATCCGGAAAAAGTGCACACAATTGATTTATGCTAGAATTAATTAAATGAATATCTTAGGTAAAGAATTGTGAGTGATTGAGGCAGCCTAAGCATTTTACAAATAAATAATTGTTTGACCAGGCTGTGGAGCAGTTCTGCTGTTGTTTCTGTGGGGAATATATATTGGATAAAACAATTTTTAAAGCCTGAATCACTTTCTTTACTGCTCACATTGGCTCTCCAGAATGCTTTCTTTCACAGAAAAATAAAATCAATCACAACATATTTTTATATTTTGGTCTGGTGAAGCTAGGAAGGAGAAACTTTCTGCTAAAGGAAGTTAGTCATGAGATACCTCCCAGAAAGGGAACCTCCAAGCTGAATTGTAATAATGACAATAGAAGAAAATCAAACTATGATTAGAAGAATTTGATCTAGGGGCAGCTGTCCCTAAAAACAATCCATTTTAAATCAAAAGACATTTGCAGGGTAATGTGAAAAAAAAACCATTATGAAAATATTGCTTCTTAGAAGTATCTGATCTGATGTCCCCAAGTAGCCGTAAGTCCCTTTCTTAACAAATATCAATCTTACATGTATCATTTATGTTGTCCTACAGGAAATCTTAGCTCTTTATCCCTTCAATAAAATTTCTAACTGGAGCAGTGGTAGCACATATTTTCACATGACAATAGGGAACCTGGTACGAGGAAATCGAATACTTTGTGAGACATTTTTGGTAAGAAAAACAGAACATTTCAGGTTTGCTAAAGATGTGTATTAAAGAGGAGAAAATGATTGGATAATGAATTATTGAAACTGTAATATAGTACAGCACTTAGTCCTTTTTTATTGTTCAGCTCTAAAATCAGGTGATTGTATGAAAAACATTTCTACTAATTTTTTGTATAAAAGGAAAGAAAAATGAAAGCTTTAGGTAAGCTGTACACTCTCCCCAATTCTCCAGAAATGTATGAGTTTTGGCCTGACCAACCAATGTTTTATTACATCACAACCAACCAGTTACAGGTAGTCCTCGACTTGAAACAATTCATTTAGTGACTGTTCAAAGTTACAACAGCACTGAAAAAGTGACTTATGACCATTTTTCACACTTAAGATCAATGCAGCATCACCATGGTCACATGACCAAAATTCTGACACTTGGCAACTGACTCATATTTATGACTTTTATGGCTTTTGATTGTTTCTTTTGAACGGTATGTAGATGTTTATCTCTGTTGTTTTGCTTTTTTCCAAGGGTTACAAAATGGACGACTTGTTAACATCATATGTTCATTTGCTAATGAACATTGTAAACAAACAGAAAAAGCCCAATGTCCCTGCCTGAAGATGCAGCTATCGTCATGCAAAGGTTATACCCGATTTGCAATATTTGCTATCTGGAAAGAATTGGGACTTGGTTATTTTGCTTTTTTGTTTTTGACTGAAATGAAGAGGACCATAAGTGTGGGCTTATGCTGACTGCAGCTTAATCGTATCTGGCTTGGCTACAAGTTGTACTTCAGCATATCAAGATTTTGTCCCAAACTATTATCTTTTTAATAATTATAGCCTCTTTCCTTGGAAATATTGATCACATTCTTACTGTATTCTAGCCATCAGCAGTACAGTGCAAAAAGATGTTTGCTTTTACTATAGTTATAAATATATTTTATTGAAAGAAAACAGCATTCTCGTGAGTTGAAGATTTCATTTTTGGAGGACTGTCTGAACTTCATAAAATATACCTCTGTATCATATATGCCTACTGGCCATTGGATTCAATATTGCTCCCCTTGTTTCCTATTTCTGGAACATGCTTGCATAATGTTATTATGAATGAAGACTGACATCTGCTTAAATAATTCTGTAAATTTACCTAATATTTATTGTTTCAGAGAATTGCAATTGTATTTTTTTAAATACTATTTTACTTTTTTGCTTGCCTTCTATGATCTGTATACTATTGGATAAGCTTCCACAGTGGAACTTTAGCCTACATAAACATACTTAAAATTATGCTTTGTCAGATCATTTCTGACAAAGCTGTAGATTCCACCAAACACAGCCTTTGTTCTTCTTGCCCTTTGCCACCAATTCTTTTGGCTGAAAATTGTTTTCTTGGAATAGTTTCATATAAGAATAAGGAACTTAATATCCATGATTGATACTACAATGTTTTGTCTATAAGAGGAGACACTGAAGTTGGCTAAATCAGACATTTATGAAAAATCATAGTGTATTTGTATCTGGTTCCTGAAGTATCTTTAGCAATTGATGGCAGACAGCATGTTGACCATTGGCTGTTATTTTGCCAAAGTAGTCACATATTCTCTAGTCAACCTAGAGAAAATTATACTGTTCTGCACTTAATGGGAAGATGTGTGACTAGAATGGGACAACTTGCTATGGCCAGCTCAGCACTACCAGTTTGTCACCAAATCGCCTCTGCCAACTCACGGCTGCCAAGTCGCCAGACAACTCCAAGTGGCCAACTCACAAGGAGACAACTCTCTGGAGCAGATGAAGAGAGAGCTGGGCAGGCAAGCAAGCAGTTGAACAGAGCTCAGAGCAGCAGTAGCTGCCAGGGGGTCCCCCTTTTTCACACCCAAACCCACTGCTGCAACCAAGTCCGGGCCAAAGACGCCAAGGATGGCAGCAGCAGTAGTGAGCACATGGTAACTGAGAGGGGCTTCCTATTTTCACACACACTTGTCACAGCCGTCGTCTCTGGCCTCTTTGGCCCAGAGCTTGGCAACAGTGGCAGCACCATGGCAGGATGTATGAAAATGGGAAGTCTCTGGCCACTGCCGCTCTGCACTCTGCCCACCTGTTTGCTCACCCATCTGTCCTTCTGGCTGTCTGCAGGGGGTTGTCCCCCAGCGAGTTGGCCGTGTGGAGTTGTCCTGCGGCAACTTGGCAGCGGTGAGCTGAAAGAGGTGACTTGATGGTGGCAAGCTGGCTGTGGTGAGTTGACTACACCAAGATGGCCGCAAATTATCCTAGACCTATGTATGATAGATTACTAATATTTCTGTGTAAGCGAAATTCCATACTTTTCAAAATACTATTTTTTAAAAACAATAAAACGCATAAATATATTTTATGAGATATGTCTGTTGCTGATACTGGTTGCTGTGAAATTAACAGGATCAAGGTGACAAAGTGTATACTGCAGAATTTCTGAATTCTAAATATAAATTCAGCATTATGTTGCAACTAAATATATTTGCATATTTGTTTTATGTTAAATGTATGATCAAAATATTTTCTCCATTTTAAAACACAAATGCAGAATAAATGCAGTTTTGTTTCTTTCAGAAAGATATGGTACTAAGCCAAATATAAATCAATAAATTCCTGAATAATCTGTCATAATCTGGTTTTATCAAACTCCTTAATGATTCTGACTAGATCAAAGGATGTCTGTGGCAGAACAGAAGTTAAACATATAAACAACAGTAGCAGTTCAATCAAGGTATTATATATTAGGTAGTAAAATGCAGGTCAAGCTGTTACTTAAAAGTGCTTTTTATGTCCTAATCAGAGATTGTGGATAAAATGGCAATTTGTTACATATAAATTTATCATGAAGGAGTAGATGCTGCAATTTATCTAGAAGACTCTCTGTTCTGTATTCTGTAACCATCTTTTTACTGTTCTGTATTCTGTACAGTGGTAGATTTTGTCTTCTGTACAGATGCAGATAGATAAACTCAACAAAACATTCATACAAAGTTTTTATTACTGGTTCATCAGGTATCCTCATAACTCACATTTGTGATGGAGTTCTTCTTTAATGACAAATCCTTTGCATATCCGTCTTGTAGGTAAAAAGATGGTTATCTCCTATCTCTTTTCTCCCATCTTGTAGCGATAGAAGTAGAACAGTCAATTTAGGGTCAATTTAGTGACCAATCAGGTTTACAGATGTGGTCACGTGACATGGACTATATTTCCCAGGATACCTTAACTACATTTACTATGATGCATTCCGTTAAGGGGACAGCTCACAATTGCTACCTAAACTATCCAATTCCCATACACTGGCTAGACAGCACACTCTCACAGTTATCAGGAACAGCATTGCAATCTGGAAAAAAATCAATCCTATATTTGGGGATATATCTATTTTTGCTAGGACAGCAACAGACAGCAAATATAATTTGCCTGCAAGCAGGAACTGGTGGGACCACAAAGTAGACTAAGAAACTAAAGTGTTCTGGGTCTTTAGAATTCAAACATGCCACAAGATAACATATCAAATTTAACAATTGTTTTAAGAAAGAAAATCTCGATAGTGGACACTGCAATACCTGGAGATGACAGAGAAAACCACAAAATATAAAGATCTGCAACTAGAAATAGAATGATTATGGCAAAAGAAACCAAGATAGTACGGACAGTAAAAGACACATAGAATGAGATCCCAAAACATCTGAAACACCACTTGAACACATCAGCATTGATAAAATCACTATCAGTCAATTGTAAAAGGTAACTTTACTTGGAACAGTTCACATCCTGTGACCGTACCTTTAACTTCATCAAACAACTTCTGCCTATTTCTTGTCCTTGGGAAGGACTTGTTAGGTGGATAAAAATCCAGTCTAAAAATCTGGCTGATTGTGTGACCAACCATAATATAATCAGTGAATGAAAGCATATTTTACTGGAAAGGAAAATATTTTGCATAATACTTGAATGTTATCCATGGAGAAAGATGCAATAGAATGAAGTTCATTTGAAACATCCCTGTGACAATGATTTTTATTGAACAGATGGAAATCTAATAGAGATAAAAACAATACAATGATGTGCATGTGATTTGTAAAACAGTTTTTAATGTTATCTTTAAAGGATACATAGCTGTGCTTATCATTCCAAATATAGAAAATAATTACAATATTTTAACCCGGCAGGGATTATTTCTTTGTTAGAGAAAAATACAGAGTAAAACTATTATAAAATGGGTGTACATTTTGTAAAACGTTTTACATCCATACATTGAAAGATAATTAGTATGTTGAATGAAAACACTCCATCAAATCTTACAAATTGAAGTTGCTTACCATGCTAACAGTTAAGGGTTGTCTAAATAGTTGAAGTTATTTTTAAGGGACTTACTTTTGAATATATAATATATATATAAAAATGTGCTGTTAGTCACAATATTTTAATGCCTGTGGTTCCTTTTAACTGCAAACTATCTCTTGAAAAATATTTAGCAATGCCATAGGATAATGAGTTAGTACATTACAGTGGTTAATAACTGTGCATTAAGTATTAAGTTATTTGCTAACTTCAGGAATCATATATATAAATTTAGATGAAGGAAGTGCACATGAAATATGAAAAAAATATTTTACTTTAACAATATAGTGCAAGCAAGTATAGTGCATCTACATTCAAGATATTGAATAATATATGAACCTGTTCGATTGCATTTAAATCTGCAAAATATGTCATGGATTGGTTATGTTTATATGTTTCTGATCAGTGAAGAAGTTATCGCAGATAGTCTTCGACTTATGACCATTTGTTTAACAACCATTCAGTCACAATGGCAATGGAACGTATACTTTAGGACCTGTAAAACGCTTTACAAGCACTTGTAAAAACATTGCGCCACTTTCACCCTTGTCACATGACTGCATTTTGAATACTTGGCAAGCTTTTTACATTTACGACCAGTTGCCAAGTGCCCTATGATCATGTGATTGCCATTTGCAATCTTTGCCAGCTTCCTTAGAAAGTCAATGGGGAAAGTCAGCAGGAAAGGTTGCAGGATTTGAGGTCCATTCTTCCAGTTCACAGAGGGACTTTTCCTCCCCTCTGTGCAGAGAGGGGAAATCCTCCCATGCACTGGAGGAATGGAACTCAAATCAGGCAAAAATATTCTACTAGCAAACGTTCAGGCTCAGAGTCTTTCAGAAAGTCAGCTAGGCTAATTGTCTGAAAGTTTCAGAATACTGAGTCTCAGAGCCTTTCAGATTTCCAGCTTCACTAGCATTTTCTCTCCATTTTCCTCTCCACTACGCGCAACTTAGACTCCTTCTCTAAGTTGCACAATTTGCAGAAGGATCTTTCTGAATCACTATGAAAATGGGGCCCTTGTACAGGCTGGACCGTGGTAGGCCTAGGCAGCTGACATCTTCCAGCCAGTAGCAGATTTCCATGTGCATTTTGAACACTTGGCAACCTTTTTACATTTATGACCAGGCCTCCACACCCTGAGGTCATCCCACACAGTCGCTTACCAACTGCAACAGAAAGAACTTGCATTGCAATTGTTGAAGGAGGTGGTCACATAGGTGCCTTGCTTAAAGACTACAATGAGTTACAATACAGGCTCAATTGTGGATGGATCATCTACAACAGCAGGGGGGGGGGGCTATCTGAGGATGCTTTTTGTAGATTTTAGTTCTGCATTTAACACAATTCTTCAACATAAACTAGTGTCTAAACTTCTAGACCTTGTATTCAATCAGCCTTTGGATTATGGATTTCCTGTCTGGCTGCTCACAGAGGTCAGATTAGGTAATCATACCTCTTCAGCCCTTATTTTTAACACTTGTACACAACAGGGTTGCGTGTTGAGTCCCTTACTCTATACTCTTTATGTGCATGACTGCATTCCCATTCATGCTAGTAATACTATTACTAAATTTGCAGATGATACAGCAGTGGTGGGACTCATCTCTGGGGGGGATAAGTCTGCCTACCGAGATGAGGTGGACCGGTTGCTTTCGTGGTTTGGAGATAATAACTTGGTCCTCAACACCAATAAAACCAAGGAGCTTATAGTGGACTATAGAAGGAACAGATCAGACATCCAGCCCTTGTTTATCAATGGAGACTGAGTGGAGCAAGTGGCCAGTTTTAAGTTTCTGGGTGTTACCATAAAAGAGGACCTGACCTGGGGTGCTCACATTGCAGCACTGGTCAGAAGGGCCCAGCAGAGATTATACTACCTGAGACTTTTCAGAAAACAACAACTGAATGAAAAAGTGCTGGTGACCTTCTACCGCTGCACCATAGAGAGTATCTTAACTTACTGCACCTCTGTATGGTTTGTCAATTGCATAGTGGAAGATAGGACAGCACTCCAGAGGGTTAATGTCATTGCCAGAAGATCATTGGTTGCCCTCTCCCCTCTTTGGAAGAGCTTTATAGCTCCCGCTGCCTTAAGAAAGTTCAAAACATTCTTAAAGATCCATCTCATCCTGAGCACCCTTTTTTTGAACTATTACCATCTGGCTGATAGTACAGAATAATAAAAACAAGGACAAATAGGCTGAAAAACAGCTTCTATACCAAGGCAGTAGCTCTGTTGAATTCTACTGTATAATGCAGTGTTGGTGTGATGTCGGGGTTTTCAATTCAATGTGCAGAATGTGAAGGATGTGTGTTTATTTTCATGGTCATGATGTTCACTGAAGATGGTGTTTCATTTCATTGTACGAGGTACAATGACAATAAACTAAACTGAACTAAACTAAACTACCTGTTTATATCTGTGTATGTGAGTAAGTATTTGTAAGAATCAGGCTGTATAGGTATAATTCATGTTTTTCAGGATAGGATAATGCAACAGGGTGTTTTGACTTGCTTCTGGCTATGATGGTGATATGAATAGCTGAAATATGTGATAGCACCATCAAGGAAAAAAAAAACCATTCAACTTCAGTCTTCTGATCTATTTTATGGTGATTAAAGGGTAAAAGGTTAAGAGTGTTTACCTAACACTGACTTCAGAGGAAAACATCATTCCAATAAATTCATTTATCATTTATATAATGTATATAGCTGCCTCTTTCACATTCAGCTAAACTGCTATATAAGTGCCAAAGTGTTCTGTGTTTTGACTTCTGGCTTATGCCTGTGCACTGTTCTTTAGCAATGTAATCAGTCAGTTCTGCTGCAAAAATGGAGCACAGTGCTTATATACGTCTCTAGGGATATTGCAAGGGGTTTTCCCAACATTATAGGAGACTAACAGACAGCATAAACATAATGCTTTGTTTACTTTGCTTAAATGGATATGGCATTTCACAGACACATAAGTTCAAATATCTTGCTAGATCACATAGGAAGGTCTTGATGAAAGTGATTCACTCAATGAAAATGTGCTTTCTGCTTATAAATGTGCTTCTCTACTTATAAATGTGCTTCTCTACTTATAAAAATTATGCTAGTTCTTGTGTATTTTTCCCCTTTGCCATTATACTGAAAAGTATGGTTTCAGATTTAAAAAATGACCTCTCTTGTGCAAAACACAAATTGCTAATAGTAAACCAAGTAGGAGATAATATATATTTACTATAATTACTGAAGAGAAACCAACGTTTAACAAATGAGCATCTTACTCTGCACTAATCATTCTGCTCCATTTCATGCTCTGATCATAAGAACACAAGTACTATGGTGCAATGTTACAAGAACAGACTATTTAGGTTCCAAATGGAAAACCCAAAGTATTAGGGGACAAAGTATTGCTATAACACCACACAGTATAGGTATTTGCTATGGCATTAGCAGAATCATAATAAAACAAGAAATTGTAAAGTGTAGCATAGGGATTATACCAAATGATATTCACAAAATCTTGTTGTTAACCGAATAATAACTGATGCCATTATTAAGCAGGAAGAAAGAGTTTAAAATTCCGAGAACTCCTACCTCTCCTCCCCCACTAAATTATCTATTCTAGCTATATTTGCCTGAGACATAATATATATCAAAAAGTAGACGCTTCTAGCTAAATTGTTTTGGTCCATTCAGGTCTTATTTTCTGCTGTTTCTAGTTTACAGTGTGAGAAAATGTATAGTAGGTAGGAAGTTTAGCTTAAGCATTAGTATCTGTTTCAGCAGCTGAAATATTTTGTTGGTAAAAGAAAACACATCAGGTTTCACTGTTATAGTATAAACAGCGTAGATTTATCATATGGTCAATAAGGCTTAACTGAAATTGTTAGATTACTACTTAATTATTACTCCCACTTCTATCCCTTACTTTAACAATTTATGGAATACTATGACATATAATATAAATCTGGCTCTTGATAATGAAAGATGAAAAAAAAATCACAAAAACATATTTATAACAAAAGGAAAATAGTGCATCTTCATGTATATCCACAGCTCCCCCCCCCCCAAAGGCCAGACTCTGCAATATACCTGAGCAGAAAACATTCAGATTACAAGATGCAACTGGTGAGGTTCTGTATGTCTTGGGCCCTTTAACCATTCTTGGGTGAGTGCCACTGGGGAAAAAGAGTGCAGTGTGAAGGAAGCAGAGACCTGTTTAAGCAGAATTCAGATCCAGAGCTTTGGGTTGTGTTTTCTTGGAGGTCAGCTCAGACAACTTCTTCAGCCTTTTCTTCAGCTCCAAAGGGAATTTCTCATAGCATTTCTTGCACACTGGCTTCATGTCAAATTCCACAAACTTATTCCTTTGAAAGAAATACATTACCATTAAATTCTACTCAGAAAAGCCATGTTGGGTTTGAAAACTAAGCAGGAAAGATGTGAGGTACATTTTCCCTATTATTACTATTAATGGGCAAATTTCTCCAAAGTCTAGGTAGTAAATCTACATACAAATAAGTGCCTTATTCAACCTATAGTTTAAAATAGAATACTTAAATGACTATCCAAGCATAAGATGCTATTCGTGTCTGCAATACTGTTAGATATGTTTAATTTTATTATGTACTTAATAATTTTGTAACCATTAGGGGGATGGAGGCTAGAATAAATGAAAAACAGTTGCAGGAATATGTCTAGATTAATGTAAAGAAGAACTAGTGATGTTTCAATATCTAAGGGGATGCCACAAAGAAGAGAGGGTCAACCTATTCTCCCAAGCACCTGAAGTTAGCACAAGAAGCACTGAATGGAAACCAATCAAGGAGACAACCAACCTAGAACGAAGGAAAAATTTCCTGACAGAATAATTAATCAGTGGAATGACTTGCCTCCAGAAATTGTGGTGCTCCAATACTGGAAGTTTTTAAGACATCATTTGTCTGAAATGGTATAAGGTTTCCTGCTTGAGCAGGGAGTTGGACTAGAAGACCTCCAAGGTCCCTTCCAAATCTGTTATTCTGTTATCATTCTTATGTTTCTCCTGCGCCCATTGATTCTAAACTCTCAGAAGCAGTAGACGAACCCTTCACTATGAAGGACGAACCTAATACTGTAATTCTTGTACATTTAAAAGAAAAATTTCATTGACTTCTATTTTTGGCCTTATCCGGGTAAACCTCCTTACATAGAGTTTTTCTAATTAAACATATTTTCTCCCTTGCTGTTGGAATGGGTCCTTGATAGATAACCAAGTATCAGCCAATTATTTCAGCCATGTTATTGTGGCAATCCTTGTCGTTTCTCCTTTGGGCCCACAAGAAGAATAAGTCGGCTGGGTTTTGGTTTTACTTGGTGATCAACCAGATCATCTTGATGACTGCAAGTAGAGGTGGAAACATACCTGTTTCTGCTATTATTCCTGCAACTAGTCTTTGGAGGGAGGCTGATTTCAAATCAGAGGTACAACTGAATGCTAAAAGCCCTTGATGTGTAGGTCCTCTCTAGATTTATCCATTCCTTTCTAAAGTCCTTTGAGTTAGTAGCTATCACCAGGTCTAGCAGTAATACATTGTGCAGGTTAGTTGTATAAAGAATAGCTTTCCTTTGCCTGTTCTAAATCTTTCATGCAACTTCACTGGGTGATCCCTGGTCCTAACCTTTTGAGAAAGGGAGGGTGATAAAACATCTACCTCTTCACTTTCTTCATGGCATAAATGACTTTACTCTATTAGCCTCTGTTCCAAGCTAAAGCATCCCATAAGCTGAGAAATTATCCAAGCCCGCCAAGCATTTGAGATGCTCAGTTCTGTTATACCAGCACCCAACACAGTAGTCCAGGTGTGCTGGGACCACATATAAAGCCATTACTGTTTTGTTTCAATCCCTTCTGAGATATTCTTTGCTGGCCACTTACTTCAAGGTGAGCTTGATGTTGCAGGTGGAACAGGAGAAGCAGTTAACACACCAAGCTTTGTTGAGAGCAGATACCACTAGTGAGAAATAGTAAAGAATAGGATGTTATCACACTATCGCGTTGTTACAAATTCAGCAGACGTATTTGAAAAGAATCATTGAAAATTGTGCATGCAGAGCTGCAATGGGTGTATTGAGAGTCTCCAGCTTACCATCCCCCTCGATCACATGGCTGCAGTTGTAGCAGACGTCTCCAAAGAGCTGCATAAAAAAAGAACAAAAGCAATAATTTTCATTGAAAGGAAGGAATGTTTCAATCCTTACAGTTTATTCATTGGTGCCCCGAGAAGCGTGATCTTATTGCTCTGAATTTCACCCCCTTCACATCTTTTCTTTCAGAACTGACAAGAATCAAGTTTTAATTCCTAAAAACTGTTTTAAAGTACAGAATCAGAGCAAAATCTTTTGCTTTATTTAACTGTATTTTTTGAAGTTGAAAACTGTTGCTCTGATTTTATCTATCCGTAACAGATAAGATGAGGACCTGATGAAGGAAGGAGAGTTTATTTGCATGCTTGAAGGGTTTTCCTTCAAAGGTTTTCCTTTCAATCTTTCAGATTATTTTTTTCCAGTTTAAACCTAAAAATTAATAAGGATTGTACTTGTTGCTTTGGAAGAACTCATCTAACTTGTTATACGGTTTCTCTCTTTTAGAGCAGAAAAGGTTTCTCTCTCCAACCATGGCAACTTTAAGCCTGGAGAACTTCAACTCCCAGAATTCCCCAGCAAAGCTGGCTGGGGAATTCTGGGAGTTGAAGTCCTCCAGGCTTAAAATTGCAAAGGTTGGAGACCCTTGTTTTAGAGGATCTTTGAGAGGATCTTAGATTAACCTAAGCAATTATACATTCTATAGTTAATGGCCCCTTGGCCACGTGGGAAGGCTCCTTCAATTGGTGATAAGTGCTTGATAATAATTGGAAAGTATTCCATCAGTTTGACAGGCTATATTTTTAATTTAGTCAAATATTTAAAATAACTTTAGGTTGACCCTCCCGAACACTAAATACTTAGAATGTTTATTTGTCCCACTAAAATCAATGTATTGCAGAGGAAAGAAAAGACAGCAGCTCTGATGTGCAGTAAAAGCCTATTATATGCTCTAGTCTAGGCAATGAAAAATGAAGTCGTAACAACGCAAGATTTCCCTCAACTCCAATCCCTAATCTGAAATACAGTCCTGAAGAATTTGCACAATGTGAAGTGAGAGGAAAGAGAACTCAATGTGCCCTTTTCAAAAAGAAAGCAGACCTCTTTGAGACCCTGGGCTCCCAGTGCAGGGGTGCCCCATAGAGCAAGAGATGGTATTCAGCAGGTTCTGACCAGTTCTGGAGAACTGGTAGCAGAAATGTTGAGTAGTTCAGAGAACTGGCAATTACCACCTCTGACTGGCCCTGCCCCCATCTATTCTCTGCCTCCCGAGTCCCAGCTGGGTCTTCTTTTGTTGCCCTACACAGGAGAACGGAGCTGGAAATGAGGTTAGTGGGATGGGGAGGGAATGGGATTTTGCAGTATCCTTCCCGTGCCATGCTCACCAAGCCACACCCACCAGGCCACGCCCACAGAACCGGTAGTAATTTTTTTTGAATCCCATCACTGCGATAGAGCAATGAGAGATTCCTAGAGAATTTCCCCAAACTACAGATTCTCTTGTAGCTGATCAGCAGTGCTACTAATCAGTTTCCTTTGAGAAAGCTGTGGAAACTTTTGTTGTTTTTAAAGCACCTTTTTGTTTCTTTATAAGGAAACACAGCACAGTGAAAACTAATCTATTTCTTTCAGCAGTCTAGCTTGCAACAAACAATAAATTATGCCTTATTTCCCACTGCAAGACATGATGTTTTCTTCTAGTAAATTCTACCTAGGAAACTCTTGGCACTGACTTCTCTTTTTCCTGCCCTTCATTCCGCTCCATACTTACGAATGGCTATTTATAGTTAGCCAACTTAAGAGGCAATTTGATTTGCATTTCTGTCCCAAGTGCAAAGTATTCCTAGACATTAAATGCTTATTAAGACTAGTAGGTCTATTATATTTTCAAAATTTATCTTTTTTAAAAATCAAAATTTGTATCTTACAGAAAACATGCCTTGTTTCCCCATCAAAAAAAAAAAGAAAAGAAAAGAAAAAAGAAAAGAAAAAGAAAAAGAAAAAAGTGAAATAAAGTATCTTATCAAGGACAGTAAACTTTACCTGATTGTAATGAGTCTCACAGTAAGCCAGACCCTTTTTCTCATAATGCCGGTGTCCCAGGAATGGCTTCTCACATTTGGCACAAACAAAGTGCTAAAAAGCAAAAAGGACATGTTATGTCAAAGGGCCTTTTGTCAAAAGAGTTGTTAGGACAAGCATAACGAATGATATATCCAAGGCGTTTTGTATGGGGGGGGGGGGAGCAAAACTAGAGATATCAAGCTCATATTATTTCATTGTTTTGTATATAGTCACCTCCTTCAAGGGATGTTGTTGTGGAAGTCTTGATGCTTTCAAATAATGCTGAACTAGAAACAATGGTCTTAAGAAAGTACCACCTTTGAATATATTTCATTTTTATGCTACTGCATACAGACTTCTAAATTGTACCAAGTAGCCAAGAAGAAATGGGAATGATATATTCCAGAATCAAAATCTGCAATAAAATATGTTGGGTTTCACTCCAGAATCCTATGTTACCTTCATTTCACAGGATTAGTGGTGGAATATCAAAATTCTATGTGAAACAAACATTATCAATGACACATATTTGTGCTGGGCTTGAATTCTAGTGCTTCAAAACATGTTCACAATTGCACCTTTTGAGTCATTGTTACCACAGCAGTCCTAGGTAAATATCTATTGGTTATAAGCTGGGAATACTGTCTTTTCTTTAGACACTTTTTTTTAATTTAGTAATATTTCTACACTAGGTTCTCACAAACACTACCAAGATGAAATACCTTGGTATCAAACATATCAAAACAGAATAATCATAAAATTATCTTAAAATATTAAAAACAACTTGGATATATTCATGAAATATACCATAAAATTTGAACTATATCATTTAAAACAGTATATGAGTACAAACCAGTAACTTACAGTCTAGAATCATGACAGCGAACCAATGGCACGCGTGCCGGAAGTGGCATGCAGAGCCATCTCTGCTGGCACATGAGTCATCGCCCCAGATCAGGACCACTGCACATGCGTGCGTGCTTCCTGCCAGCCGATTATCGGGTATCTGCTGTGCATGCGTGGGAGTGTAGGTCACGCAGGGGAGACATGCGCGCATGTGCAGAACCACAGGGTGCAGGGTCGCATGCGCATTGCATTATGGGTGTAGGCACACGTGCGCGCGCAAGGACAGGTGCACACTTTTGGCATGTAACAATGAAAAGGTTAGCTATCACTGGTCTAGAACAATGTCTTCTAATGTAGTATCAATGACTAAATCATATTGTACGTATGTTCCAGCATTTCCATGGATTCTAGTTGCCTTTCAATCACATTTTAATCTGATACTCTATAAAGCTACGAAATATCTTGATATAATTTATGAAGATGAGTTATTTTTTTCTCTGTCCTATTGAAATTAACATTTGTATTTATTTGTACTTGCTGTACAGTTCTTATCTTTCAAAAGACAAAGAGAGATTCATTACAGCCATTCCACCTTGGAATGTTGGAAACTATTCAGTTTTTATTATAAGATTTTAGTAGGAGGATTTAAAATAAGAACAACAACAACAACAACAACGATAATAATCATAGTGGTCTTTCAGATGTTTCTGAATTCCTCCTCCTCCTATCCTTAATCGTGGTTCATGCAGAAATTGTGAACCATAGTTCAACACCACTTGGAAGGACACAATTTTCCTGACCTAATACATTAGTTAGTAAATTTATATTTTAAGGCAGAAAACAGTTTCATCTATTATTGTTTTATGCATTGTTTATTATTTATATATTTGGGACAAGACAGGCTACAAATGTAGCTAAATGCAAAATAAAGATTGATTTCATTATATACAAAGAACAATGGCAATATCTGCTTATTAAATAGGAAAACACATTGTACCAAAAATGGAAGGGCAATATTAATTTCCAGCAATTGGAGAAGCTCTCACCTCAACGTGCCACTGTTTTCCTAGAGCATTGACCACTCGACCCTCAATAGGCCGCCGACAAGCCCCACAGATTGGAATGCCCATCTTATCATGGCATGGCAGGCAGTAGAGCTCTCCTTTCAGCTCCCTGGCATCAGCGGTCAATTCCTTCCTATACACAACATTAGTAATTAAGACTTTGGGACCAATATTTGTCACAAATAGTAATTATGTATCAGTCACTACATAATCTAAAACAGACACCTGACTTCTTGCCAAACATGAAAAGAGGACAAATTCTTAAACATAAATATACTCCTTAGGCTTCCTTTGCCTCATTATTCATTCTTACACATACTTTGGAAGAACCCTTTTTAACAGATTTTGGTTTATGACTTGTATTTTAGAAATCAGAAATAATCAGAAATACTAAGCCATTGTCCATTAAATCTCATAAATGTAAATGTTTATCTAATTAATTTTGTACTCTGGATATTTTATAAATAGCTTGGTGATTCATGTTCAGAGGAGATTCAATTCAATAATTTACTATGTAAAGAGAAATTTATAACTACTTAACATACCCACAGTGGGTGCAGCTGAAATGATCTGGATGGTAGGAGTCGTTCCTGAACATAAGAGGCTGTTCATCAATTATCAAGTGACATTTCTGGCAAATGTATTTGCCCAAGCCTTTGGCTTTCTCACGATTGTGGCAAGGCCGACAAAGATGTCTAAAGTGCAGTTGGAAAGAGAAATGTTGAGAGACATCATTGAAATAACAGTAATTTACAAACAAATTGCTTGCTAGACTTCAGAGCTTCTGAATCTTAATGAGAATATTAATTCATAAACCATGTTTACAGCTTGTGATTGCATGAATTACGTTAACACTGAACTGGGTTAAGTAGATGACAGCATTATTTTCTTCAGCAAATTGAATTTTTGTGCATTTACTTAAAAAGTCAGGAAATTTCAAACATACAAGCACACACAAATGCATTATCATTTAATTTTGCAGGTTTCCCTATATAGAACATACTCCATTTGTTCATTTATAGGGCTGAACGAACAGATAACATGAAAAGCTGCTGATTGATAGAACTGTGCAAAACTGTGCAAATACCAAGTAGAAAAGAGCCAAGCAACTCAAATTAATGCTATACAGTCTCCAAGGCTTCCTGAAAGATCTGAGCAAGGTCATTCGGCCTCTAGGTCCTTATCAATAGAAAGGAGCTAATAATAAATCTCAGTTCTACGAGGTCACTGTGGATCTTGTGTTTCTTACAAAGTTCCCAATAGAAAGACCAGTCAGCATAAGTGGAAAGGAATGTTATTAGCACACTTGGTTCACAAGTCTTCTCTGCTCTTCCTCCCCAAAGCTGAAGACACTAAGACAAGAGCTACAGTTCACAGAAAGAAAGCAGACAGCGTCCCTTTATAAATGGGAGTATGCAGCTGTGTTGCTCTCAGGATAAAGGCATCAATTTTATTCCTCTCTGTGGAATGAAGTCTAATTATACAGGGCAAGACATAGAGACCCTACTGCAAGTGTCCTCAGAAGAATGCCCTCCCATTTTACTGAATAAGGGGCCTTCAGCCCTTTCCACTGATAAACCATTAGCAGCCCAGCTCATTTGGAAGCCCGTCTACTATCCTATAGATCCTTGTCCAGTGCAAAGCAAAGGGAGGTCTTAGAATCACAAAGCCGTTACTATGGTAGCCGTCCTCCTCACTCTCATTCCCACCATTATGGAATTATCCCTTTCTGAAATGTCCTGTTGTGTCTGTAGCACTAGTTTTCCCCTCCCCTTCTGCAATACTCTCCAAGACCTCTAAGGCAGGCAGAGGACTCCAAAGGCACAGTGTAAAAGGCAGAGGTCCAAAGAGAGAGGCTTTAATGAGCAGGGAAAACACTGGAATATTCATAAATACAGTAACAATTAGCAACTCCCTCCTCCAACAGTTGAGCTGGAATTAAGAGTGTCTTTCACAACAGGCATGTTATCTCCCCTCCTCTTCTGTGAGCAAGATGATAAAGGACTATCACACCTAGCAGAACTCTATATAGTGCAGCTCCCTTTTCATTGAACTTCGTAGAGTCAACCCCTGATGGAACTTTTTACAGCTGTGTTCTTTTCCCTAAATTTGCTGGTGTTATAAAGAGCTCAAAGGTTTTCATCACAACTTGATCAGACTGCAAACAAACTGCAAGAGGTAAGAGCTCTGGTATCAGAGTAGACAACATTTATTAGCCTAGAAAATACAGCATCTCCTAACTTGTATCGGGGTTTCCAAATAAACAGTTGCTGTTATTACTGTCCAAAAAGTGCTGTCTATAATGTTAAGAACACAGTTGGGTGTTCTACTTGATATAACTAGATGTATCCATAATATGAGGAAGATTGCTGATTAAATATTACATTTATAAATGAATTACCCACTGAGTTATAACAAATTGATACAAGTTTATTATTTAATTTTTATAATACTCATAAGAGTATAACTTTGGATGAATGAAGAATGAAAACTGTTGCTGTTCTAAGAAAATAGAAGTAGCTGTGATTTCTAATGTATTTTTAAGACAATTAGCTAGGATTCTCTTACTAAACTAGAGAATTGAATACAAACAAAAGACAATCTGCTGCATGCCTAGAATTTGGGAATGCTTCTTCAAGCTTCATTAAGACATAAAGTAATACTATCTTTTTGCTGTAGAAAAAATTCTTTATTTTATCTTTCTTTAAATACCTGGAACACTCTGTGGTCTAGTTGCAAAATTAACACTTGCAATTAGTACAAACTGTTTTAAGTTCCAAGTAATACTAGATCCAAACAATGCTGAATTTTCCAATTATATAATTTCTATGCTTTTCATTATGTCTAAAGACTTGAATGAGATTAACCATAGGAACAGAAGCTTTTCCAGTATTTGTATTGCTTTTATTTACAAAGATTTGTCTACAAAGGACTTTGAATCAAGCAAATGGTACATGCAATGCACATTATATACCACTTCTGTGGAACTTCAAGTGAAGGCACTTATATACGTATATGCACACATACATACATACATATATAAAAACATAACATAATATAGCATATTATGTATAGGGATAATTAAGCTTGTGACTTATGACAAGTAGGGCAATTAATTGAAATACAACTAACAAAAAATTTAAAATACAACATCCTCTCCCAGAAGTGTACCTAATTTTCATGCATAGTTTATAAAAAGAATAGCCAGGATTCATGTGCCCATATATAATGTTTTTGTTTATGCATCTAATTCTAGAAAATATCCCGATTATCTGGAGGTAGCTTTTTCAAAAGTCTGGGGAGGGGGTTATCAGACAAAACCTAATCAACATCCAATAGCAAGGGAAACTAACAGCAAGTTTTGCTAGTTCATATAATAAAAAATAAAACACAGATTTCTTGGTATTGTAATATTTTCATCCAAGTTTATTTATTTGGTATTTCAGGCTCACATTGAAGACCAATTGTGAGGAATGAACAGCCAAGCAGACTCTTCAGACCTGTTATTCAACATTTCCCTATCAAATTCAGAGCAATGTGGCAAAGAGAGTCCCATGGAAAACATCCTTTTTGCTATTTTCTATCTCCTCGATTTCATCCTAGCCTTTTTGGGCAATGTTTTGGCACTCTGGCTCTTCGTTCGGGACCAAAAATCAGATACCCCTGCCAATGTTTTCCTGATGCATCTTGCTGTAGCCGATCTGTCTTTTGTGCTCATTTTACCAACTCGGTTGGTCTACCACTTTTCAGGCAATCACTGGCCATTTGGAGAGCTCCCTTGCCGACTCACAGGATTTCTTTTCTACCTCAACATGTATGCGAGCATCTACTTCCTCATGTGCATCAGCATAGATCGCTTCTTAGCTATCGTGCATCCTGTGAAGTCCCTCAAACTCCGCAGGTCACTCTATGCTCATTTGACCTGTGCCTTCCTGTGGGTTATCGTTGCCGTGGCCATGGCACCTCTTTTGATCAGTGTGCAGACAGTTGAGATGAATAATACCACCGTCTGCCTCCAACTCTACAGAGAGAAAGCATCACGCCATGCTCTTGTATCCCTGGCTGTCGCATTCACTTTTCCATTTTTTACCACAGTAACCTGCTATTTACTGATCATACGAAGCCTGAAGAAGGGGCACCGCATTGAAAATCATTTAAAGGAAAAAGCCATCAAAATGATCATCATGGTCCTAACGATCTTCTTGGTCTGCTTTGTGCCTTATCATGTCAACCGTTACATTTATATCCTCAATTATGACGGTGTGAAGACTTCTTGTGCAATGCAGAGGATTCTGGCACTTGGCAATCGCATCACTTCATGCCTCACCAGCTTAAATGGTGCCCTAGATCCTGTCATGTATTTTTTTGTTGCTGAAAAGTTTCAAGAGGCCTTGTGTGGTTTGTTTTGCCCCAAAAGAGTTGCAAGAGTACCTTCAAGTTATGATGGGAAAACTAACGACAGCTCTTTAAGTGCTAAATCTGAACTGTAAATACCTGAAAACAAAATACTTCCTTAACAAAAGTTTGCTGTCCAGCACAATTTAATCTCTGAGAAAGCAGAACTGCTTTTCTACAAAAACACAAGGTCTAATACTTAATTGTTAAGGAAACAAAGCATATACAGCAATTCTAACTGGGAAAGGATACTGTGGTGGTAGATGATGCCATGTTGAAAGCCCTGCTTTTCTCTGTTGGCCAGGATGGATAGTATCTCCCCTTTTTTTTTTTGCCTTCTCCCTAGCATTTTTAAGGGGTTTTTTTTGGATGGGTGAGTGTGTGTGTGTGTGTGTGTGTGTGTGTGTGTAATTACAAAGATAATAGTTACAAAGACTATCAGGACGCATAATTATTTTGATTTTCTGGAATACTCTTTTGAACGTTACTATCAGTGGAAATATTGCCAATAAGATTTTTCATAAGCATTCTTTGGATCTACAGATAATTTATAGGCAGCTTTACCTTATCATAACCATTTCAAGAATCAGATCAGGTTGTGTGAAATTATGAATCTTGTGATAATTTTTGCATAGCAAATAGTAGCAAATAATAATTCCATTAGGATATAGATTGGAATTTCAGTGAACAAAAGCTTGGTAAATTCTTCAAAAAATAAATATTCATAGGGAAAGAATTGACCATTTAAAGTATTCAAACAGTGAGTAGAGAAGTTTTAGTAATATTCAGCAGCTGTCCAAACCTATTTTGTACAGTATGCCATAAAACAAGGCAGGCAGGAATTCAGCCCAAAAGCTGCTCAATATTTACAACTACAATGCAAATTTTTGAGATGTTTATGAATATGGGGTTTAGTTTTAAACAAACTTTATAACTCTCCCACCATAGCTGTAGAAGAATATAAAAGCTGCTGATGCTTTTTATTACACCTCAAGATGAATAAATTACAAACATCACATTTGAACAAAGTGTTCCTTTCAATTATAGCTTTGGCTGTAGATACCATTTTCAATAGCAGTGAATACACAAACCACAATTTATTTTATATGCAGATTTTTTAATATGACTGAATATGGTTAATGAATTCTTAGAGAGCTTGCTACATATCATTAATTCACTTTAATAATGTAAGATGTAAGTCCAGCTGGGCACTTAGCCCGAATTAATGTAGACCGAGTCTATCATAGTATCTTAGAACAATGATGATCTGGAGCTGGAGCAACTGTGCTTGCCAATATAACTTTGCTGCAGTTGTATCATAACAAGTTTGTATTATCATGTTTATTATCTTTCTACATGAGCCGCGGTGGCACAGTGGTTAGAGTGCAGTACTGCAGGCTACTTCTGTTGACTGCTGGCTGCCTGCAATTTGGCAATTCAAATCTTACCAGGCTGTTGCCTCAGCCTTCCATCCTTCCGAGGTTGGTAAAATGAGGACCCCGATTGTTGGGGGCAATATGCTGACTCTGTATACCACTTAGAGAGGGCTGTAAAGTACTGTAAAAGGGTATATAAGTCTAAGTGCTATTGCTATTGCTACATTTCAGATCCTAGTCAACTTTATACTGTGCATTTCAGTGGTGGGATTCAAAATTTTTTACTACCGGTTCTGTGGGCATGGCTTGGTGGGCATGGCATGGGAAGGAGACTGTAAAATCTCCAGTCAGAGGTGGGATTTGCCGGTTCTCCGAACTACTCAAAATTTCCACTACCGGTTCTCCAGAACTGGTCAGAATCTGCTGAATACCATCTCTGGTGCATCTTATACATTTTGATGTTTTCCAGTATGTTTAGAACATATGCACATACAAACTAAATACTTAGCTGAAACAGTGTAAATTACTCTCATTTGCCTTTTAGCACTTCAATTCTGTTTTCTGAATTGAAGTATGCTGTGACCACAAATACCTAATATCTACTAAAGGAAAAGCACAAGGACTGCCTTTAATTTTTCTAAAAATTATTTTTATAATCTAAACTTTATTAGCCAATATGATAGAAGAAATAGAACACATAAAAATAGGTTCAGAGAATTCACAAACAAATAAAATGTTTAATTTCCAATAATTAGTTTCATTAAGGAAAATAATATAAATGCTAAGAATAGTCTAGAAAACTGAAAGTTGCTGCATGTATTTTGAGGCTATTCTATTTTGTTTCCTTTTTCAAAATGATTTTTGCATTTATTGTTTTTTACTTTTACTTTCTTTATATTCACATTTGTACTTAAAATGTATATTTAAAAACTGTTATATTTCTTATGTAGCTGGAAATACATTCAAAAGGAGAATAAAGCAATTTTGTTTATATTGGTGCAAAATTCTGTCTATCCACCAACACTGTTGGTATCTTAATATATCTTAATATTACTGTATTTATAAAGGCGCTTAGCTACTTTCTGGCATTTTGTCTAAAAGAATTACCATTTTGAGAATGGCTGCCAATACATTCAATCTCCAGATTTTTTGGAGATATACCTTCCTTTCCATAACTTATCACTAGCTTATACAATGCATTCAACTTCACATTTAGTTTCTATGCATATATCATCAACTGCTAACATTTTAACATATAAAATGCAGAGTTCTATCTGTTCTTACCTGCCAGCATTCTTCACAAAACCCAAATCAGCAAGAACTACATCACAGAGTTCACAACGAAAACATTCAGGATGCCAATTATTGTTCATTGCTTTGATGACTCGGCCAATGATGAATTCACCTTGAAACAGAAATATCACACTTTATAACCTTAATTCATTTCAGAAGACTCCCTGGTCCTTAGAATTCCATAGTAGTAATTGGGTAGCAAATTTTTTAAAACATATTTTGTAGTCTGCTTTATTACAGTTATGAGAAACCTAAGAGTACATATAATTTGCTCAAGGTCACTGAGACAAATCCAGGTTTGTTAAGATACCGAACTAATATCTATTTTACTAAACCACAAAGATTCCCTTATAAAGTTCTGAATGTCAGGATTTTCTTTTTTGAAAAGTACAATTTCCATGTATTATTTTTGTTCTTATCTATGATCAGTGGTGTCACAAATAAATTACAATATTTTCTTTTTAATTTGCTCTCTACTGCCTCTCCTTAAGAACACCCAGTTATAGAACACCCAGGATCTCATAATCAAATGGTTTACAAACATTATTAATAAACAAAATTAGATATCAATCATTTATGTGGAAAACTTACCACATTCCCCACAGCATGGTGCAAATAGCATCTGGAAGTCATGCTCACAATATTTTCTCCCTTCAAACTGAAAGAGATATGCAGGAACACATACCTTTATAAAACATTCATCATACAAAGAACTGTAGAGTATGCAGATGCAAAGCAATAAACTTCTCTCATCAATAGCCGAGGGATCTTGCATTACTGATTCTTATTTTTGGAAAGCTTATTCCAACACATTAATTCACCTTCAAATCACAATAGTTATTATAATTGTAGTATCAATTAGATATGTTGTAATAGTACTCTTATCTCATTTTGCTAGTTACTACTCTCTCTGATTTTAAATATGCCTTTTTTACTGTCTATAAAGAGATTTGCTTTTAACACACAAGAGCTCATGATCTTCTGATGTTATTTTGCCCTGCATTTTTATTAAATCAAATCATTAACAAAAACAAAGGGAGATATAACTGGGCCTATTCTTTTAAGAAAAAGTATTCGTTTTCCGTTTCTTCTGTTTCACTATCGTGGCTCCTAATGTTAACTGACTACAGTGCAATGTTATGTTTAAAGCTGGATAAACTATGGTTACTCTTAACTATGGCTAACTGAAACATCTAGGCTTTCATGCTTGGCTTATGACATTGGTTTGCACACATCCCAGAAAAAAGTAATCATTTTTTAATGTTTGGATTGTGATCTTCAATTAATGTTCACAGAAATGAGAGCTTCTAATACCACCTTTGTGCTAGAGGATGTGAAAGGAGTACAGGGTTTCAAGCTAGTACACATAGCTCTAAACTATAATTTAGCAGTGTCTTACATCATGCTGACGAGAAATTTCTATTGGAGTTCTGACTCCAATTTATTTATTTATTTATTTAGCGTGTGGCATGTGTTAGCCAGGGATCACCTAGGTGGCTGGCTGCCTCTGTGAAATGAATTTTTTCAGGTGGTGTTATCTTTAACTGCAGGATGCCAGAATGCTGGTTGGCATTCAGGGGAGGCTCCTTTCTTGTCCCTATGTGGTTTATTCGCTCAAAGGAATCGAGCCACCAACCTCAGCAGAGTGCAGGCCCAGCGTCTTATCACGTGAGCCATCACAGCCCCCATATTCCAATATTTCTGCGGGATTCCAAGCTGAAGAAATCTGGTTAGCATTGTACCTGAACGGGTGACTGCTGAACTCTTCTAGCTACTTGTCTAAGAAAGTAAGACTCTGCTGAATGGATGATATTAAAAATTACATAGGGGAGAAAAGAGAAATGGAACACTGAAATTAGAACTGAGGCAATTGTATACTCCATACTCCATAGAAAATACTGTAGTTCAGTTATGCTTCTCAGTCAAGGAAGGATAAAAACTTTCCAAACTATTGAAAGTATAATAATCTCACATCATAGAAGAGGCCATCTGGAAACTGACGAAAGCACTGAGCACAGACAAAGCAGTTTTCATGATACAGTTCTCCGTTGCTGTTTACAATACGTTCAGTTGGATCAAAACGGGCTCGACAGCGTTCACATACAGCATTTGCGAGGGCATCTGACATATTACTGAGAAGCAAAAAAGAAAAATAAGAAGAAAGAAGAAAGTAAATATTTAATTATCTTATATAGAATAGAATACAATGGAATGGAATAGAACAGCTTTATTTGACCAAGTGTGATGAGACACAGAAGGAATGTGTCTCTGGTGCAGAACTGCACTAGGCTAGTGATTATATATTTCAATTAACAGTTTATCTGACTCTAAGGATGCAATCCTATGCATACTTAATGGGGATTATCATTAAACTCATAATTGGACTTTTAATAAACACATAAACTCTTGTATTATAAAGCAATCCAGCTTAGTTATATCTAAAGAACTATATATTCTATCTCTCAAATGAAAATGAGCTATTTGATTGCCTCTTATTTATTGGCATCTACAGAATATTATTTATACTAATAATAAATACATCATTATTTAAATTGTGTTTTATCAAAAAGTCACAGAAAACTACATAAAGTGGTAGTAACTATTAGGGATGCCCTTTAAGCTATCTTTAAAAAGCACCATAAGTCATGGTAAAGCTTTTTCAGGCTATGTTCAGCTCCTGAAGACTTCCTGGAAACATTTGTAGAAGGTCATGAATGAAAGTGTTCTAAATGCTAATGGATTACAACAACAGAAGTTTGAATTTCCATGAGGGAAAAAAAAAAACCATGATCTGCATCTTGTCAGAGCCTTTTGTTACTTCTGACCTTACAAACACTTACAACATTTCTGGATTTTCTCATCCATCCCACATAGCCACCTACTTGCAAAGTGCTAAAAATGTCAAATTGTAAAAGACTTCTTTGATTAGAACGGCAGCAAGCTTTCATAACTTACATTAAAAGTTACGAAACTTAATATAGGAGATAAACATCTTCCAACAAAATGGATACCCACAGAACTTTATCAAAAAGTATCAAATCACACAACCTGCCGCACTCCCAAACATCAAAAACTTTGCACAAACAATAAACAGACTGCTATAACCACATGGCATCACAGTAGCATACAAATCAATGAAAGCCTTCCAAAATATCTTAAGCAAACCAAAATGACCCCGTAGTTCAAGAAGAAAAAAAACAGGAGTCATCTACAACATACAATGCAAGGATAGCATGGTAGAAGACTAGCAGAGCACACCCACAAACTAGCTTTTTGAAGACATGATAATTAAATCTCCTTAATTTCACAACATGTGGACTCAATCATAATTTCAACTGGAAAACTATTAGCATCTTAGACTAAGCCAAATGCTAAAATGCTAGGGAATTCCTGGAAGTTTGGTATTCAGATAAATCAGCCATCAATAGACACAGAGAGATAAACCACATTTTCACACCTTTCAAAAGAAACAAAAATGTAAAGAACAAATAACAAGACTATAACCCTCCAGCAGTCAATATTCATATCAGCAGAGATCGGTACCAGATAAATAATCAGGCAGAAAACAATATTCAAGTCAAAGAGAAAATTACATCCCCACCACAACTGGCAGGGCAACCTATGGGATAGAAACAGGGAGCAAATCGTACACTGATATTATCTAATTGGGTAATTAAATATCGATAAGTAAATAGCTAAGCTCGAAGAATACCAAGAGCTCTAACCCCGAGACACATATATTCTCTTCTACTGAAGTTAAAGAAAGCCATAAGCTAACTCTATAAAAATGAAAATGCCAGTTAATTAATAGGTATTCTGAGTGTTCTATTTCAAAGTATCTTGGAATATAGGTAGACACATAATAAAAATTAATTAAATATGAGCACCACAATGCCTTAGAATTGTAAATAATAGTATTTACAAATATATAAAATATTGAAATAGATTTAATGTATCTAACATTAATTACAACAAAATGAGCATTTTTAAAATTTATCAATTGGAAAAAAAAATATAAAAATTCATTCTTCATAGATACATTAAGGTCCCAGTAATTTGATTCTACTTGCAGCTTTTGTAGCAACTGTAGAGGCTGTCCAATTTCTACTCTTTGACTTTAAAAAACAAACCTGTTGTACAAACTTGACTCGCTAATAATATATTCCAGGCTACAAGTAACATATGGCAGAAAGTAATTTTTTCCAGCCAGCTTGATCTGCAACCTTTAGTATACAGACAAGTTCAAACCCAGAAAATGGAGAGCTCTGAAAATTGCAATATAGGCTGTTTCATATCATTTCACAGAACATCAGCCCTATTAGTGTTTCCCAGCCAAAGCACTATATAAAACCTGTTCATCGATATCCATACCAGTAGCAGATATATGAAAAGTGACCAGGCCAACTGTTTAGAGGGATGATGTGGAGACACTCTGTATGGGTGAAATTGGGTTCTAGAGAGATTCCCACAACAGGGAAGATTGCTTTCTTC